CCGGGGGACATCCTGGTGTTTTTGACTGGCCAGGAAGAGATCGAGACGTCACAGGAGTTGTTACAGGAGCGCACGCGCAAACTGGGCTCTAAAATTAATGAGCTGATTATTCTGCCCATCTACGCTAATCTACCGTCGGACTTACAAGCCAAGATATTCGAGCCCACCCCTCCTGGGGGAAGAAAGGTAAATATGATTTTTAATTTTCTTAATTTTTTTTTTCTATGAAAGACTAAGGTTGAAAAGTGAATTCTGAAAGGACTACCCTCGCCCACTGAATCTCACGAATCCTCCTGGCTTTACATCCACCATTTTCTTTTGTCATGATGCCTGAGCAGATGCATTTTGATTAGGGTTTAGTAAGATTATCTTCTTTCGAAACTAGTCGTGCTGTGTCAGAACATATCTTTGACTTCTTGTTTCTCCAGAATTTTACGAACTCTTTCATTTTTTCATTCATTAAATTAGGAGGCTTTCAGACTGAGTATAAACCTTTGCACGAAACAAGAACGGTGATTATTAAAAAAATGTGTTTTTTTCTTCATCTCTAAGCGTTTCAACCCCTATTTCCGAAACAAGTAAAAGAGATTTCTGGCAACATTTTTTCACAGGTTGTTTTAGCTACCAATATCGCCGAGACGTCGCTAACCATTGATGGTATAATATATGTTATTGATCCTGGATTTTGTAAACAGAAGAGTTACAATCCGCGCACAGGAATGGAGTCATTAGTGGTGACACCTATTTCAAAAGTAAGTCTTGGTCTCAGATTTTTCTCTCCAAAGTGGCTCAAAAACGTCAAAGTTTTGATGAATTTTGCGGTGGTTAAGTAACCCACTAACTGTTATGACGTTTCCTAGGCGTCAGCCAATCAAAGAGCAGGTCGTGCGGGTCGCGTGGCAGCAGGCAAGTGTTTCAGGTTATTCACAGCTTGGGCATACAAGAACGAGCTGGAGGAGAACACCATCCCCGAAGTAATACTATTCGTTCAATTTATCAGCTGTTGCTGAAGATAAGTACTGCTGTAAAGATTATTGTATATCTAGTCACTAAATAATTTAATCTCCCTAATCATTGTCGGCAACATAACAGTGGAAAGTGTACGGCTCGGTAAATATCCACCGTTGGCTACCTCCACTTCGGTGAGTATTTGTTAATTATCATCTCAGCTGAAAAACCAAATCAAGATGTGTATCAAGAAGTCTGGGTTTTATTCGTTGCCTTATGTTCATAATTAGGCATTCTATCACGTTGTCTTCCAAATGCACGGATGATTTTTATTTTTGAGAAAAGACAGGTTTATGGCGGACGTGGGGTCGGGGGATGGGGATGTTTACCCGTAATGATTAAAGATAATAATTGTATCGGAGGCCAAGCCATGGTCATATTTGTACATTCAGGGAATATGGAATATGCAAACTGTTTAAACTACCACGATGTGCCTTCGTCTTTTTGTGGCAGGAAGGGTCTTAAATCGCTTTGTTTCGCCTTCCTTAGATCCAGAGAACTAACTTGGGAAATGTAGTTCTACTCCTGAAGAGCTTGGGTATCAACGATTTGATTCATTTTGATTTTATGGACCCCCCTCCGGCTGAGACCCTTATCATTGCTCTCGAGCAGCTGTACGCCCTGGGAGGACTGAACCATCACGGGGAACTTACAAAGGTTTGTGACAGTGAAGATTTCTTCTTGTTCTAAAACTACCTGCATCTGTGAAGAATATGCTCCAGGATCGGAAAGAGAATTTCTGCAACTGATACCAGTGTAGTTATGTTATTGGAAGTTGGTGATTAAGCCCTACATTGATAATTTTCTCCGTTCTAATAAGGATAATTCAAGCACCTATCACGCTTAGAAGTGAGGGGGGGCTAGACAAGATCGTTCAACGAATAATTGAAACTCTCTAACTGTCCATGTTTCTTTGTTTCTCTCTTTCTTTCAGCTTGGACGTCGCATGGCAGAATTTCCCGTTGAACCAACAATGTCTAAAATGTTGATAGCATCAGAAAAGTAGGAAAACTTAAAATATGCTTTTCTCAACCTTTTTATCGTTGCTTGCCAAAAATTTACCTCAAGCTTTTCCAGCGGTCACGGAGCAGATCAGTCCAAACAAGCTTCCCTCACCACTTCTTGGTCACTTCCCTATGGAGCGCTAAAATTTCATCTGACTTCAATTTGAATCTTTTGTGTTAAACTGCGCTAAGAACAACTTTTAGATATGTTGATTGTGAGCATTTTGAAGGTGGCTGACAGTCAAAGTTCAATGGAAGAGAAAAAAAATTTTGACTATTGGAAACAATCAAACTTGGAAAACCTTGGGTACATTTGCACAAATGTTCGCGTAGTCTGCGTTATAAGGACTTAAGCCAGATTGTCATTTTCAATTCTCTTTCAGGTACAGATGTGTCGAACAGATTCTTACCATCACTGCTATGTTATCAGTGAACAACGCCATTTTCTACCGTCCCAAGGATAAAGTGGTACACGCAGACAACGCGCGCGTAAACTTCTTTCGTCCAGGCGGTGATCATCTGACATTGTTGAACGTGTACGATCAGTGGGTGGAGACTGGGTACTCTACTCAGTGGTGCTACGAGAATTTCATACAGCATCGCTCTATGAAGAGAGCACGAGACGTTAGGGAGCAGCTAGAGGGGCTGATGGAGAGAGTAGAGATTGAAATTACGTCGAACCCAAATGACTCCATTCCTATTAGAAAGGTAAGAGGTCAATGAAATCAGTTGACCCTTTGAACCTTTAGAGTAACTTGCATCTGATTTTTCGTTTAATTTTCTTCAACATTAGCCATCCTTATTTTCTCTTGGTTGATTGCTTTCTCGCTCGTAGTTTCATTGCTACCTTGACAATAGTTTGTATTCTTCATAGGTTTTGTTTTGCACGTCGCACAAGAATAGCAAAAACAATCTTGTAGCTACGTCTTTCCAAAATCATTTCTGTTGGACAACTTTATATGGATTCTTCCAAATGCTTTTCTATTAATGCCTAAGAAAAATCCGCTCACTTCTTTGTTAAATTATTTTACGTACGGTTAGGTCATGTACTTTTAATAATTTATACAAACTTTCTGATTGCGACCGTGCGCATCGTAGATTATGGGTAAAATATAGTTTTATCAAATAAGCTATCAATCTTGGGCGTGTTTGTGGAGCTTCATGTAAGGGTAAGAGAGAGACGTTTCTCATTTATATCTCGACACATCTTTGCTGTCGTAAATCATCGTATCCTTTCCTTTTAGGCGATCACATCGGGTTACTTTTATCACACTGCCAGACTAGGCAAAAGTGGCCAGTATCGGACGGTGAAACATCAACAGGTAAAGTGCCTTAACTAACTAACTTTTAAATAGTCTGCTTTGGATATATTTAGGAATGATGTATAGAAGCTGTTAACGCCAGGAGTTTATTACGCTAGTAAGTTCACTTTCGTAGAAATTCCTGAGACGCATGAGAGGAGAGCATGAATGGGTGACGTGTCGTTTACTGTTCGCTTGATGTCTTAGCTTAAGGATCAGTGATCAGGGGTCAACCAGCGCGCGGGAAAATCACTTCCCAACGGCGTCCATGTTTTTTTTCTTTATCCCCACGAATGGATACGGGTAGTATTAACGAATTAGATTGGTAGCGTGTGATGGACTGGATTACCTTTTCAGTGTGGTGAAATACATGTATAGACAGCAGGAATCTCAAGACCCCTTGTTATCTTTTTTTTTTAATTGTTCTTCTTTGCAGACAGTCATGATTCACCCGAACAGCAGTCTGTTCCAGGACCAGCCCAGATGGGTGATCTACCACGAGCTTGTGTTCACCACTAAGGAGTTCATGAGACAGGTAGGGAAGGTCCCGCTCCCGAATCTGAACACCAAGAATCACGCGATAATTATATCATCGTTATCATGTGTGTACATCATGTGTGTATCTCTCTCTTACATCCAAGATATTTTTTGCTGCAAATAGGTCTGTGCAGTGCGGAAAATGAAGGAAGGTCAACATACTAACGATTGGAGTGGAACATATCTGATAAAAAATCTTGGTTTGCTAGGAAATCTTAGCCTTTTGATGTAAGAGTTATTAACGAGCACGAAACTGAAACTGAACGGACGCTTTTGGTCGGTTGAAGCGCTTTTCTTGTAGTACCAGGAACGAACGGAAAAAAAGTTGATCGATCTCTTGAAGCTCATGAAAAATACGAGGCAAAATTAGCCTGCCTTCCTAGGTAAAACCCTGATTTGTCAGACCATTGCGTCAATAACTGTTCGAAAAGTCGTGCTTCCAACCCATAGTAGCTATCTACCGTAAGTCTTTTATAGTACGTTTGACGTTTCCAATCCCAAGAAACAAGCTAGCTTTGCCGCCTTCAGGAGCATGCTGGCATTTAACCAGAAGCTGAAATGAATAATTTCTTACTAGATCATAGAGATCGAAAACAAATGGCTACTGGAGGTAGCGCCTCACTATTACAAAGCCAAGGAACTAGAAGACAGCTCCAGTAAGAAAATGCCCAAGACTGCTGGAGTCACGAGAGAGCAAGCCAGGTCGACCACGTGATTTTAGGTTGTGTGTTAAATAATATGTTGTGTCACGCCAGTATCAGATTAGTTCTGGCTCGAGTGGAACCAACTGTGTTGGACCTAAGATGATCTTGTGTCTTCTGACTTGTTGTATCGTTTCGTAAAGGATGTGCGTCGGGGAGTGATAGACTCCAGATTTCAGCGATAAACACTGTTGTTGCCATATTAAAGCAACTTTTTTATGTGGTTTAAGTTTAGAACATTTAGCTCAAAAGTCAGTGCAAAGAAAAAAAAAACCTTAGAATAATGGGCACACTCGGTCACGAAATCAAGCACTGACCTCACCTTATAATTTCGTCGTTTATGCCCTGTGTATAGTTAACAATCGTGCTAAATTTAATGGAAAGCACTCTAGAGAGCACATTCTTCGCAATGGTATTACCACAGGACAGTAGATTTTTGTCACACCTCATTCATCATAGAAACAACTTTAATTTAGTAACAAAATCATTATATTAGTTACAAATGAAAAAATTCTCCAACGTTATTGATCATCAACAGTTCGATTTGAGTGTTAATCCGAAAGTCTACTCGTCAAGCTTGCAATTGGACCGCTCAATTAATTCATCACTAACTCAACTATACTTACAATTAACCTTAAAGGCAGACTCCCGAAAGTGAAAGGTTGGCGCGCAGTGATATTTGAGTACCACTAGGACAGCGTACTCTTCTCCAAGCTTGTACGCTTCATGTCTGTTCTCGGTAAGGGTTATCAGCCGAAGACTGAGGCTGATAACCCCTACCTCGACCTTGATTTTTCTGGATATCGAGAAAAAACATCATCCAATAATTTTTTAGAACTAAAGCAAAATCAATGCATCTCGGATCACCTTCGACACAATTGAAAATTACCCTAAAACCAAATTACCTTGCTAAGTCAAGTCGCCAAAAAAAAAACCTGCTTGCTCTATAGATCAACTATGAAAACCTCAGCAGCCCACATTCAGTTTTCACCCTGCCTTTACTTCAGGCCTGGTGACAATTGGTCTGTCCTGCTCTTGTCCAAGTACTTTCAGATGTGAAATATGAGCACCAAGCGCCTGAAAGAAGGTCTCCTTGTAATTGTACCTCACCCCAAACTCCTTACACGTCTCACGGACGATGGGAGTAATCTGAGGATAGTAAAACTGACACACGCCCGGGAAGAGGTGATGGGCTGTTTGATGATTGAGAGCTCCTGGAAAATAAGGGAAAGGATGATTGGTTGGTTATGTTAAATGTGCATGATTAAGCTCCCGCATGAGACTGTCTTATATTATATAGACGGCACTGAATGACACAAATGATGAATGGAAACCGTAAAAGAATCTAGACTGTGTATACTGGGCATGACTCGCAAAATAACTACTGGAAGGGTTTTGTCTGATGTATAATAGAATCAAAGGTAATTGACCTGGCCCTAGATGCCCGATATGAACATTTTTGCTCACACTCTTACAAACAAAGGAGGTTTCAGGGACAAAACAAAACAATACAAAACAAAAAAAACAGCCAGCCAAATGGGATGACAAAAACTCATGCAGACAAACCTTATTTACAACTCTCTTAACTAGAAGGATCCTATACATCACCTGTAAAAACATTCCAGAACCAACTGTCTGTTGCATAGTCTAATGTTGACTCGATCTGAAGCTCTGCCCTTAAAGATAACACGAAAGTCTCTGGTGAGCGTTATTAACAGTCACCAATATTGTTGAAATGTGCCTCATCTCTTCGTTAACAGGTTAACAGAGAGAAGATACGTACCAATCCCTTTTCATTACTCCTTTTTCATCAGGCTGAGGCCATTCGACCTGGACATTAAAACAGAAAAAGGGGAATGGATGATTTTAGTGTGCGATCGCTTTTGTTATACCTCATTTAAACCAGATGTAGTTGTCAATTACGAGGTGGTGCACGATCAGAAAAAAAATATTTAAAAAAATTTATGTTTCAACCTGAAAAGTTTGTTAGTAACAGCACAAATTTAGCCTCTCAGTTTCAGGTGAAGAAGATTGCTTGTGTCTTTAATGATATGACGTTAGGTGGCGATAAATACCTATCCTTGGTGAAGCATCAGCTGAAATGAAAGACGATCCTATCCCCCGAAAATGAAACATATTTAAACAGAAATGGAAAAATCTTCAGATTTTAACTTAAAGATATGGTGGTATGTGAAGTCAAATTTTCAGATGTTTCTTCTCTTTCCAGGTTTTTAACTAAAGTTACCCGAGCGGCCGTGGTATTCTTGCTCTCCAATAACGATATCACGACGATAAAAGCCATACGTATCGTTTCATGTAAATAAAACTTCAATCTGTAGAGCACCTTCAAACACATACCTCACTAACAACATGAGATGCCTGAAATATAAGAGCCAACCAGTAACCAGTTGCTATCTCAGCGAGAAACAAAAGAGCAGCCTAGCATTTGAAGAAAAAGAAATACAAATGAGAGTTAGCAAGGGACAGGTTGATTGCACCGTTTCGACAAAAAGTCCTACAACCATAAGAACGCCCTTTCGAGATCTATCTAACTAAAGGTTGCCCAAGTTCCCTGATGCTGCTTTTTGTCCGCCTACATTGTACAAGTTTACCCAACCACAAGAGCACACTCAATCGGAAAACTTAATTTGCAAATATTTTCGCATTTATTTTGAATATTTAATATAACAAGTTTTAACAATTTCACGACTGCCACTTGTTTTCGTTTCCTTTAATCAATTGCGTCATGAAATCGATGGCTCTAAGTCCTGAATTCCTGATCTCTCGGATTCAAAGATAGTGTCCCTACGCGTCTTAGATTGTCATTGTGCCATTGCAGTTTTTCGTCGACGCTCTTCATTCTCACTTTATCTCCAATAGCTAAGCTAGGTAACTTCAGCTTGTGACGAGATATAGATTAAGTTAAGAGTAATAAACAAACAGAAGCTTACCATTTTCCAAAATGAGAGCAACATCCAGGGAAGTATCACCTTGTGCATGAAAAAGAAAAGTTTTCCACTAAAGAATAAAATAACATGAGATTTTGATGGTGGATTGAGCCGCATGGTACCTGAAAAAAAAATTGAACAGAACGATAAATCAATATGTTGTAAAATTATCAATATTAGTACATTTTATCTGAGATAGCCAATAAGAGTCTGTTTCAACGAAACAGTACGAGTTTTCTGCATCAGTTGACGGCCAAAAAGGAAATACCAATTGCAGTAAACGGGTTATGATCGACCCGAAATGTGCTGCCACCTTGAATTTGAGCGAAAGTGGGGATTGTAGGAGCCCCCTTCCCCCACACATCTCTTTTGACTTATCATGGCCGACTGTTTGTTTGGTCTTTTTTTCACTTTGAATCCTAGCTTACCATTAAAATCGCTCTCTCGCCTGCGCTCAAGTCAAAAGAGATTGTTTCTCCTCTAAAAATCATCCAAGGTATTTTTTTTAACAAGTAGCATATTTCTTAATAATATGCCATATTCAGGAAAAATTAAAAACAATATTTATTTAAGCGAAGTCCTGAACTCACTGTTTTTCAGGGATATGAATGTAGTGAAATCCTGAAGATAAGTCTTGAAGCCCAGCTGTTGCAAACAAAGAGGCATAGCGTTCATGCAGATACAGTTACAGATTTTTATTGAAGCTCCCTGAATGGGTTTTTCAGCATCAATACAAATGGTTAAAAGAAATAAACTAAAATTAAAGAATATAGAACTATAGCTATAGCTAAATGTATATGTCAGAAGAATAAAATTATTGAATAATGAAGTAAACCTAATAGCAGCTCAGTAAATTGACGCTTAAATTTCTTGGAACATTTTAAACACACAAGATTGCTGCTTAATGAGATCCACAGTTTCGTCCTCTATAAGCAAAAGACCTCTGACCAGTTGAAAGGCGGTAAAAAGGTATATCCAGGATACTAGCTGATCGAGTTTGCCTGCCATGAACACAAGAACGTAGCCTAAACTTATTTGCAAGGTAATCTGGAGCAAGATTATCTATGCACTTGAAAACCATAGTTGCATCATTCAAAGTAAGTCTATCTTTAATAGGGAGCCAATTCGATGATCTTAGTCCTTCGGAGATATATATGTTATTTGCCGGCTGGGAGGTCCGTATGGTGAAAAACTGTGACCGAGGTCTTGAAAATACTGCCCGAGGCCGTAGGCCGAGGGCAGCATTTTCAAGACCTCGGTCACAGTTTTTCACCATACGGACCGACCCTTAGCCGGTAAATAACATATTTATTGTTTTTGAACTTGACGAAATTCTTTCCGAGAGAACCCGAATGACTTATGGCCGTAAATACGGCAAGATCTTCCATAAACTTAACAATTTTTGAGTAAGTAAATGGTAGTTAAAATAGAGGTGATGCAAATTTAAGAGAGATGCCTCAGCGAAACATTTTCATTTCCGTAACGATAAAGGTGATTTAAAAGGCTTCCAAACAAACTTTGAAACATTATTTTTACAAGTATCTGTCACAGTCTGACACCTGTCAATTAGAGAGCGCGCAAGAAAAAAAAATCGTAGGAACATTTGAAAACCAACAGAACTAGTTTGGCAAGGCCTGTCACGACAATGTTTTCTTAAAAATCAGTTAATGATCTAACGGAAAGTATTATTTACTCTCATCGACCATTCATTCATGTACGAAGATTTACCTCTGTTCATTAAGTAAACGGCGAGGAAAGTAATTGTGAGTAAATTCAATTTTTTATTTTGAAGTTGTGAGAGTTTGCTCGTTTGTTTGCTGTAATGGCGTGTTTAACTCTGATCTTTCCTTCACAAAAACTAAATTCGAACGGCACACTCCAACGAGACACAAGGGAATTTAATGCAGCCTTTTCTCAATTCCTTCAATTTCTGTTGTGCAATTTAAGGTACAAATGTCCAAATTGAACGGAATTGGAAAGACTCACCAGGAGCGTATATTTGTTGTAGAACTTAAATTAAAACTTCGCTCGCTTTTTTTTTACTATGAACAAATTGCTCGAGAAAATTAAGTTATTAAATGAATGAAAGTTCCATCGTTCAGTTTAACTGTAACCAAATACCTCACGTTTCAACTTTCTGGGTACTTTTTGTGAACGATTAAAATTAATTGCAGACGGTTTTTAGGCCGCTTGTCAACCAACGTAATGACACTATTGTTTATACAAATTCATTCTGAAACCAATATTTTTCTGTCAACCAAAGTGATTTGATAGAGAGAAAAGGGAGGATTCATAAGTTATTTATCGGCTTAAGGTAGTGACCGACGTGTTTGCTTAAAAATACTGCCCAGCTGGAAAACGAGGTATATTTATGAAAAATGACAACGAAAGTTGGGATGTACTCGGCGACTCACGAAAGCGTTACCGTGGCCCGTGGGCAGAGATAGGAAAATACTGACCGGGTAAAGAACCAATCAGATTGCAAGACTCGTTACCGTGCCCTCTAAAGAAACAATAAATGGTCATATTTTTTGAGTCCCAGAACAATTCGTCCAACAAAGTTTTAAACTTTTTGTAATTTGTTAATGTTACTATTGCTCTAGACGCTTGGGCAATATAATAATTTGCTCAAAACGAAGGCAGCTATAAGTAGCAACAGCGTTTTCCTATCTAAAAGATGCTTAATTCTATTGATTTGTTTTTACTCAAATAGACAGTTTGAAACACTCTTAGTAATATGTTCGTTATAACTGAGGTTTGGATCCACTGAATACCTTAATCAAAAGACACTCCTTGTCTCAAGAAACGTGAGCGCAAGTAAATAGCTTTCACGGAAGCCTTCTGAAACGTAATTCATTAACTTACCAAGCAGTATATTAAAGGCATATATACATGCTGGTTAAAGTATCGAGGCAACCAATTCTGGCTCCATTTGATTCGTCTCATATCCGGCTTCTGTTGAGAATTGAACACCATTTGTTAATCATACAGGTCTTAAACGTTATCAAGGCCCTATGTGTTTAAAAAGTTTGGCTTTCTATCATGATGCTATGTCCAAATACGCTTTATCTATGTTGATAACGTTAGAAAAGTTTTCTTTCCATTTTGCAGTTTGAAAGAGCATGCCATGAACTGCTCACAACTTACAATCGAGGTATTGAAGGAAGTCAACGTCGCTTATTTATTCAAGTTACGCGTAATCAAAATTGTTCTCAAATTTCTCAATTTGTACCCCTAGAAATAAGAGCAATTTGCTTCCCTTTTGTAGTCAAACGCTGTAACTTTTACCCCTTTAAGCAGTTCAAACAAATATTTATTTTTTTCCAAACGCTAAGAAATCAGAATTTCTTTGTAACAATCTGATTGATCAAATTTAATTTATTTTCTTTCCCAGATGATAAGCTAAACTGACAAAAATTACATGTAGCATGCTATTCGGAAAATAAGTGATTTCACTATTCTGTTATTGTATAAAATTAGAAGTACGATATATCAGGAACTCAACAATGAACTCAAAACAAGGCACATGATAGTCTTAATATCAAATGATTACTTCTTTTGCAGTGCTGATGTCAGGATCGACCCCATCGATGTTAGTAAACGGATGATGACCAAATACATGCTGAGTAACAAGAATTCATATCATTATACTAACTATAAATGTAGTAAATAATACTTCTTCAAAATCGTCAACTGTCTTATCTTCATCGAAAAAGTGGAGATCGTAAAAAATAACTCGATGGAGTCTGTTTTGCCCCCCCCTCCCCCCAAAAAAATTGACAAAATTGTATTGAGGTCTAAATTCATTCCTAGATAGAACCATGCCTCGAGCCATGCGTAATTAAAGCATGCCTGCTAATTACAATTTTTGGGAGTATGTTTTTAAAGAACCTTTTTCGAAACTACCAGTCTAAAATTATATGAGAGCCATGTTTGGCAACGTGGGTTGAACCAAAAAGGAACCTCTGTGATTTTAAGGGTGGTGTCACAACAACTGAAGTCACGACCCGGACAGCTCTAACTTGAAAACTTTTAGGCCGGTTATTCAGACGAGGTCTAACCCAAACCGCGGTTTTTACGTAAGCAGAGAGCCTCAGGGATTCTCTATAGGAGGGTTGATTTAATTAACTGAATCTCCTTCCACTGTTAGTTTTCGGCTCCCTTGACACTGCTCACAAATATAAACGTTTTGATAAAAAGTTCGACCAAATTCAACATGGCTTAGAGCGCGGTTAAACAACAGCTAAAATTTGTTAAAATGACCGGCCCTTCAAGTTAAGCTCAACCTTCGAGCTTATATATAAACTTTCAGTACTAACCTGAAATACCCAAACGTAATATGACCCTCCATTTATAAAGTCAACCACATGGCCAACCAGTCTCCATACAAGAGGATTACTTGTCACAGAAAAATGGCTGAAACATAACATGAAAAGAAATATCCATTAGATTTCAAGAGTGGACGTCGATATAATTAAATGTTCCGATTTGTCAAATTAGGCAAATGAGGCCCACATTCAAACCAGCTTGCAGCCGAACTGAGCAAAACTATTTCATGTACATATAGCGTTAACAGTTCTAGAATTCTTGAAAAATATATATTTTGCTGAAATTCCCTAGGTTATGGAGAGTAACTGTGAACAAGGCGTTTCACAAATTTTAAAAATTATAAATCCAACAATATGATTAAAACTTTTTACCGCAAGGCTTAGAACCGTTTAGAATTTTCTAAAGGTAACGTATGTCTACCGCCAGAATCACTTTTCCTTTTCCAGAGCGGTCTAGAGTACTTTATGAATGATCACTTGACAAATAACCCGTCACCAAATAGTCGTAGCTGATTTTTTCAGCAGAGTAATGCTACTGCGAGAAAACGATATAGAGCCATTGTTGCTTAGCTTGGCTTCAAAATATATTTAGAGAAGATAGCGGTTTCTGCTTTACTGTGATTTGGGTTCGTGGTGAAAGAACCTATTTTGTATTCAGTGATGGCCTATCATAATTAATAGTGGTGTGGTCTCTCCCTTGTGGTTCTCCTTTGGTTTTTAAGGGACTGCTTTACAGCGTGTCTTTTATTTACCTTGCATCGTGAGAGCTGAATATGGCTCCTAAGGCAATGAACCATCCATGGAAAAATCCCGCAACACAAGCAAAGAAGAAATTTTGTGTGGACAAGAATATCTAAATGAAAAAATTCAGCACAAGCAGTTCAAGAAAAATCAAGGACCAATAGATCTAGCCACTATCGATGACAATTTCATCCAAACTGAGAATTTAGTTACGTGGACTTCCTCAAACTTTAGCCATATGTGTTCCATGTCAGTATCCGTCTATTTTAAATTCTTCCACTCGTTCAGTAGATGATAACGATAACAAGAATAATAATGACTGCAGGATCAAAAATCTATGAGTAAAAACCGTTACCTGTACAAACCAAAGAATGATCGTCATCGCTGCCGCGAGAAAGTACCTCAACCACATCCATCCCGAGATCTTTGGATCCTATCACAAATGCATAGAAACAAAAGTCATTTGAGAACTCTACAAACAACTCTTTGAAATCCAAGTTTCTTTCCATTACCTGAAATTGTTGGTTTTGAGAATGTCGTAGTTAATATGAGATGGGTGATCTGTTTGCCTGATTTGGAAGGGCTAACTAAAGAAGTTAGGTAGGCTAACGAGTTTTTTGCCCGTCTAGAGGGAGCTTACACCGATTTGTATGAAGAGACAAGCAGACTTCACACTTCCTTTTAATGTAAGGCTGGTCCGCCTAACTCAGGATTTCGCTAAGTAACTCTGATCTTTGGTCGTGCTGGAGAAGGTTTCCGTGAGAGTAAAGTGACTTGCCCACGAACACATCACATGGCGTGGGCCCAGGTTTCTCGGCCTGGATTTCAAGCCAAGACTATCAGGCCACCAAGATATCAAAATGACCGTTTCTAAGAAGACTGAAAACACAACAATTTTTTTGTCGCTCGTAAGCTGTGGCGCCGGTATTTTCAACAGCGAGAGCAATGAAAGGAAACGTTTTAATTTGAACCAGCAACTCTTGCAAAGTAGTTTCGCATTTTTACCAAGTTCCATTTCTATCATGGATCATTGCCTCTTACTGCTTTCGTTTTTCGTTAGAATAATTATGCCCGATTATTTCTTAACAAGCAATGAGCAGTCGAGACCTATAAAACGTCATCTCTTATTTCAGCTCAAAAACGAGTTCGAGGACTCTCTTTTTAAGTACTGAATTGCTATCAACATCATGATCAGATCTCATCTTCCTACATAGCTTTTCCACAATATTCCCAGCCTTTCATATTTTTTTGTAACTCTGCTGAAAGATGAATCTTCTTGGTAGAGATGCTAGGCTAATTTTCCAGGCCAAAAAATGCTTCAAGGTACTTCTGAAAAGGACTGTCAGAGGGCTGTCACAGGGCTTTTAAAGGGCTGCAGAGAGCAATTATTTTAGAGCAATGGATTGTCTTGACGGATCAGCACAAATTTCCTCTCAGACAATTTCTATGTCTGCAACATTTACTTCGATATAAAGTCTTCGCAACTGCGTCGTTACCTGTTTTGTGTCCTCGAAATGGTTCCGTACTCTTTCTCTTACTGTGTTGTAAAAAGCCCTGTCAAAAAAAAGACACCAAGAACATCTGTGGTTACTGGCATATCGGGTGCTCCTCCTCCTCATAAAGTGGAAAGATTTATCACCATCAAGTTTTGTGCTATTCTGTTTGCTCTTTCTTTTCTTATAGGTACAGATTTTCCTTGACCGCGGTTTAACCTTTAACTTACCCTGGTTCTGGGAAAGTGGGATACTGCGTGGAAACCAACTCACCAACATAGAACTTGTCTAGCATTCTAGGAAAAAAACACAGAGTCATCATGATAACATGCCTGTTAATAGCAGCCCTATATTAGATTGCTAGATAAGGAAAAACTGCCATCACGATGCAAGACTGGTGTTTCTCTGACGTAAAAGCCACACCCATGTCGCCACATCATTTTACAGATGTTACACTCCGTGTACTTTACACGGTTAATTGATTATGTTCGCGACATGTCGCCGAAGCTTCGTTTGGACATTGCAGAATCTCTTCGACATACTCTTTCCATAAGCTTTTATTGGCTTACTTGAGAGTGATACACATAAACCACTGGGATTTAAGCTCTTGGAGCTGATGTCAGTTAAGCATAATGGACCACGCATCTCGCTTGGTAAGATAGGAAAGGGCTAAAAAGAGTGCGAGAAAGCCACTCGAAGATTTAAACCAATCTGGCCATGGATGGAGGATAACTGACCCTGTAAGATGTACCTTTTTTAATAGCAGTCCACAAGAACTCTTTGTGATTTTGTGGATGGTGTCGCACCTTCTGTCAATGCTGATCACGTTTTGCCTGACATAATGAAGTAATTTAATGACTCCGCTTGCAACGCTGAACATTTCATCGCTAGAAAAATAATGGGAGCTCAGTCCTGAACGCCTTAAGTGAGAGAAAAATCTGTGTTTGAAGCTGGAAAGAACAGTAACAGCATCCCCACGATTTTTGTACGAAGGTATCAGCTGGGACTAGCCTCAGCAAGAGCGAATATTTGTGAGATACTTTAGGAAATATTCCGTCATGAAAATAGGAGTTGACATGATAATTAACGTTCATTTGAACACTACGGGAAGCTTAATTACTTTGTAACAAATGTTTCGTAAAGCAATAAACTCCGAGATTTCATTTGCATCTCCTTGAAGACAGTTGAGCTTATTATATATTTTATTTCAATTGCAACATTACAGCTTACTTGGGTGGAACGTCGCTGAAGACGTGATACGACTGAAAAACAATGGTAACATCCTTTCCTGCTGCCATACACAAGACATCTTTACCACCAGGGTGACGAGCAAGGAATTTACTCACATCATAAACCTTAGGAAGAAGATAAGAAACGAGAATTCAATCAAACATATAATTTGCGTGATTTGGATACGTGCTGTACATCCTACCCTCGGGGCCAAAAGTTTAACTTCTTAAGTTCAGCGAGTCAGCAGACCCCAAAATACAGTGAAGAACGAGCTGTTAATAATCAATATCAAAGCATTTTGAGCATAAAAATTATCATTTGAATTGCCAAGCGTACACGTGAAATAAGCAAGATGACTCCATTACGCTTTTGAGTTATCTTGAAACATCTATTTCGTGACCTACTCAATTTACTTTTCCTCGCTGAAATCCAATTCCCCTTCCAGATCAGTTTAGTGTAGTAAGTCACCATTAAAAGGTCTTTTCGTACAAAGACCATAACCATAAGAGCGACCACGAAAATGTGAATGCGACGTTTATAACGGATTGTGCATAAGCAATATGTTTGAAGACGTTCATCCATAACATTGAGTGTTAACACGTACGCCTATATCTCTTCTTCTTTCTTCTCTTCCGTGTGAAGAAGCAAAACACCAAAATTTCATCCGGTGTTTATGAGGCATTCCTGAGACATTTTAAGAGTCAATGCGTGTCAGCTCACATTACGACCGTAACAGCCGGGAGTTCTGCTGGTGTATGAAATGTGGACTGTGTGTAACTTTCCAGCAGAGAGTCGCACAATAAGTCGCGATTGCCGAAAGCCGTGATGGTGGACCACCTCGATAAAAGAGGCTTTAAATTCCCCGATCGACCCTTGGTTTAATCACAGAGGCAAATCGCAATTTATTATACTTTATTACAACTTAGAGATGTGATTAAATTGATTGAAAAAAATGAGAGGATAAAAATAAAAACATAAATTACAGATCAGATACTTAGAATCTTTTCATAAAGATTTTCATTGGCTATGAAGTACTGATCTGTGTTTGTAACCCTCTACACTGTAGAGGGTTGTACAAACACAGACCAGTACTTCGGAAAAAAAGGAAAGAGGTGCTGTCACGAGCACGCTTGCAATGACATGGCATCAGTCTCATGGATGTGCGAATATTTGAAAGGCAAAACAACGGCTGGCACGACAGCTTTTGTGTAGCATGCTCAAGCCTTTATCTCAACTAGTGTGCTGCTAGCAACACGGTAAAAAATTTTCCTTCACAAAGAAATGGCACAGAGCTAACCGAAAAACATGCCTTATTGACTTTTCTCTCACTGCAGCCTATTGTTTAGCGTGTCTCTGTATGCGTTCACCTTATTCCCTCTTTTCCGTCACATTTGCTGTTATTTGCATATTGCAGAACTATTAAAACAATTATTAGGAAATACAATACAGCTTTCAAAAGCAGTTCCTGATTGCATTGATTGTTTGATGTCTTAACGAATCACTTCGCCTGTATAGCAAATTCAACTCCATCTTTTGTTTTCTGTTGTTTGTTTGCTTGTAAAAGTCCGTTCTTCGTCGCAAGTTTGGGTCCAGCAAAACATTAGCAAATATCATGATGTTTTGATGGTTCATTAGCTTGCGGACATGCAAATGCTTCATTCAGTGTGGGTGATTAATATTCACCAGGGTTAGGGTTAAGGTTTAGGGTTTGAATTCAATCAACCATAAGGTGTTAAATATTCAGAAGTGATGATCAAAACTCGTTCGACAGTGCTCTTAAGAAAACTTTGCAAACATCCAACTGCAATACTTTCATTTTGACCGATTAAATCAAAATGATTTCCGAACCCCATTTTAGGGATGTACTGCAGCAGCAAACTATCAGTGTCCCTCGTAATCCATAAGATATCGTATGCACGTAATTGAAGTTTTAGCGAAATAACGTAGTAAAAAACTCGATGCCTTTCTTACCTTCCCGTTAATTGCGATGTGTGCATTATGTTCCAGATTCATACTGGCAAGCTCTTGCCAAGTAAACTGCCTGTTTCCCGACATATTCTCGCAAGAACGTTGAACAGGGCGAAATGCGTTGGAAAATCGATCGACTGTATAATTAAAAATGTAGTGCAGTCGACCGTTTAATTTTCGCACCACTTGATAAATATGATTGGGACTATTTTGATTGGCCCAATCGAAGTTCCGTTTATCTGTTTGGGTAAGAGGGACTCATCTCAGCTGACCTTAACGATTGACACCATTCTCTTCACCGATATATCTTTACGCGAGCCCGGGGTAATTGGTGGCCCAAGTCGAACCACTTCAAAGAGTTACAAATTTAAATATTTATTATTTGTACCTAGCATTCGGGGGTCAGCCGTTCCACTGAAAAAAGACACGAAAGTCATGAAGGAGAAGAGTGTTCAAAGTAGACCCAGAAAAGACGAAAGAAGGAAAAAGTGTTTGGTTTAAAAAAAAAAAAAACTGACAAGTAAGACGCTTTGCTCATTAACTTTTTCATCCGGGTCGACCGGTGTGTCCATGTGAGTTACCCGGCAAGAGGGGGGGAGGGGTGGGGAGAAAAAAGGAGGAGGCACAACACACGGCTCAACTTCTGTTTTCATGGTAACTCTCAAGAACCCTTGACTGTTATAGCAATGCGTGGTTATATGAATACCTTCTCAGGGAGAGAGCTATTAGCATTGCTGATTATTTTGAAATTTCGAAGAGTCTTTTTATAAGTTTCTCTTTAGTAAAGAACATTTGAAAGAACTAGTTAGCAAGTCGAATGACTTTTGGGCCAAACCAAAATAATTATAACACCAATCAGGGCAAGGGTATGTTCATGGGATCTTCTCAGTGTCAACTCACGCAATTGCTGCGGCTTCATTGCAAAGCTCTTTGGACCTTTTTCATGAAAAGTGGCATTAAAGTGTTCTTGCTATCGGAGACAAAATTTCGAGGCAAAATCATTCTGGCTTGTTCTGACGATCGTAGGCGTTTTTTACGAATTCTTTCAGTGTGAGTGTTTATTAATGCATAAAAGAAAGAAATGAGAAAAGAATTCAAATGATCACCAGCGAGGTAGAAAACTGTTTTGAATAATTTATTTCATGTACAAATTTTGACGGCTAGTTTTCTTAATTAAACACGCTACTTTGGATGCTACAGATCTTGCTGAAGAAGAACCATTTGACCCTTTTTCCTTCCCAGTACCACACGTTATTTTCAGCCCGTCGTTACTTCTGGCCTGGGGAAGGTTGATTTCTCCCTCTCCGGGCCCAGGGCTTTAAGATATGAAATATGATTAACAATCCCCTCGTAGAGTGACTGCTAGTAATTGTACCTCACCCCAAACCCCATGTTTGCGCGACTGTAGGAGTGATCTGTGGATAATAGATCTGACTCACGCTGAGAAAAAGATGATGAGCGGTTTGATGGTTTAGGGCCCTTAGAAAATAACAGAGATAATACAGTGAATTCATGTTGATGGCGAATCCGAACAAACAGAGTGAAAAAGCAAGGGCAAGGTAGAGAGCGGTCAGAAAGAGATGGATGGGAAATTTAAATTTCGACGATGGCCATAAGCAGACTAAAAGACAATCTCATCTTCTGGGCGCTTTTTTCTCTGGTGTGAGATGGCACGGGGAGGAGAAAGAGATTTGCGAACAGTCAGACAAATGGTTTATACAGAAAAATAAAGACTAAAAAGCAGACAGGCTGGGAAGAGAGAAACTCGTATATTGATTAGGTTATCTTCACGTCATCTGTATTTTGAAATATTTTTAGGAAAAGCAAGGTGTGTTTTTACTTATTTTAAGTTCGTCTGATGTTTCTTACGGATTACATAATTACTCAGTCAACCGCATGGTTTCATATACATGTAACATAATACTGCACACTATGCTACCTGTGAAAACATTCAAGAACCAATTCGTTTGTAATATAATCCATTGATGTCCCAACCTGGAGCTCTGCCCTAAAATAACAATAGATACTACCTAACAAATGTTTGCTTGTAAGCCCTCCCAACCCCTCCCTCTTGCGAGGTCCCCGCAAACATGCTCTACTGTGCGTGGTTCGTATTTTAAATCGGTAAGACCACCGTGAAAAGTCCTCTTCGAAACGGATGAAATTCAAACCAACATCAAAATTTGCTACAGTTATATTTCTATTTTAACCGCCACGAAGCCTAAATAACTTCCCGTTATAATAATAAACTGTAAGAAGCAGTGATTTGACTGACTTACAACTTAAAAGTCCCAATTCCCAGAACTTTTGTTCTTCATTTTCTGCGACCGGCACCTTCTCTTCTTTCTTGATTTTAAGAGTGACTCCCGCCCTTGTTGCGTCCTTCATTTTAGCATCAAGCGCTCTATGGAATATTCTAAACCTAGAAAACAGAAAAAAAACTTGGTTAAAGTTTCATACAACCAAGAAAGACAAGAATCTCAAATGGGCAATTTGAACTCTACGGAAGAGATGTGGCGGCTAATTACCACCAAAACCCTACTTGCTATCCGTAGTACTCAGCAAATTTTGAAATTGAAATTTTAAAATCAATTGGTAACTTAAGAGTTACAAACTGATAAGAAAAAATGTATGAATCCTTTGTTATAATTGCTTTGTACATGTAATTGCATGGGCCCGAGGGCGATTAAGGATTAATTAATTTCACTTGTATTTTCAAAGTTTTCCTAAAATTGCCCGAGTCGTAGTGCTCTGTCCGTACGTCATATCCTCGAGCCAAATATATATTTTTCGGTCCAGCCCACCCACTCAGTCATTAAGTACATATAATGATGACGTGTTATCTTATGACCCCTCCGGCCTGCGATCCTATCTCATAGGAAAGCTAACGGTGAGTCAGCGGACGGGTTGACGAGAGCCGGTGCAGAAAAAGCCATCTGACAAGTCAAAACAAAAACAACAAAAGCATTATTTATGTTCGTTGTTGTTACAGACTAGAATAAAAAAGAAATCAGAAATGCACTTTTCGATGAATTGTGAGATTCCTGTTATGATTCGAAACAATAAAGGAAAAGTGAACCTTTTTGGCGCTTACCACCCATGCACACGTCCATCGTGTTTCATTTAAGTTGAAACAAAATTTTCGAAATTATTCACTCTTAGTGGTCATGAGATAAATTGTTTCAGTGGCTCGAGGTCATTGCGTACACACCGAGCGCAGCAAGGTTCGAAAGTTATGACTAAGAGCCAAATATTTTCCCGTTCGGCAGTACAACCGCACTCAGTCAATAAGTTAATAATTAATATTTTTGGTTGTTGTTGTTTTACTTATTGTGGGCTGAACGCGTCGCGAGTGCGAGTGCGCTCCTGCTTTTCTAAATGCCTGGCTGGACCCTTAAACGATATATCACTGTGATCCTAAGAATAGCCGCCCTGATTTTTCTAACTCCATTAGATTATTTGATGGTAGTCAGAACTCTTTTCGTCTCTCATATATATGATCTAGAAAGGAAATAAAATGCTGGGTATCAATCAAGAATCGATGTTGTTGTTTCTGTTGTCGCATCATTGTAAGACCTTCCCGCCTAAATTAGCGTAGCGGCAGCAGATGTCCATTGTGTAAAAAATCTAGAGAGATTTGATCACTTAGCGCAAGATAAGCATCAGCAGAAAGAGAGATAGCAACTAGAGCAACTAGAGCAACACAGGTTATCCGAGTAACGCAAGGTTAGAACATAACTCAGGCGTTAAAGGCACAGACAGAAAGTGGAATTCACTTAGATGGCTCAGAGTGGTGAAGCAGAAGCTTAAAAGTTAAAGAAATACCCACGTATGGGCGTGAAAAATGTTAAATAAACTTTGATAAACATTTAGATAATTTTTCTTTGTTTGCGCTTAAACTTAACAGTTCCTAACCTCTCCAAACGATTTGTTGTTTGAATTAGTCATTCACTACATCTTTTCAAATACATACCTTTTATACTTTAATGAGAATTACTTAAATTCTATTCTGTTTATTATAAAATGTTTAACATCGCTTATATTGTTGAAGTTAAAACGTAAAAGCTAGCCTCAAGGTTAGTCTAGTTTTTTGGCTTCCCACAGCCATCTACGCCTACCCTATATCAGCTCTCGTGCAAAGCGAAAGATTTTCAAGTGGCAATATTTGATGACGTAAATGCCACTAGCAAACCGAACAATAGCAACGCCCGTGACGGTATAGCTTTTGGGAAACTTTAATTTGGGTCTACTGAATCTTTTGTGTTATTTTTAACAAATAGATTTCATCTTGCTATTTCTGTTCAGTGATAGATCACAGATAATGTTAAAATGCGGTAAGGACGAAAAAAGTGGCACACGAGGCGCAGCTGAGTGTCACTGATGTTCTCGCCTCGTTTTGACGTCCACTCTGCGTGTATCGTCAGCAAGAGAATTTCCTGCTAAATACGGTGCCTTTTCTATTATCATCACTATTTTCGGAATTTCTTTCTCTATTGGCTACACAGCCAGCGCAATTGAAGCCCATGCTAATATTGTTAAATATAAGGACTGAACACAGAAATGATCTGACAAACGACACGAACTTTACTAGCATTTGTAAAGTGACAGGTTATACAAGTTGTTTTACACAAAAAAAATGCATCGCTGAGTAAAACCTATGATAAAAGCAAAAATCCAGCCTTGATTAGTTGGCTAATTTTTTTGCAACACCTACGCCTCTAAGCACTGAGATCTTTCATAAATGAGCTGCTTACAGGAGTGAACTCTTCGGATAGGCTAAGCCTGCGGTGGTGGTACTTCCTCCACATAGATTCGGGCAAGTGAATTCCAGCCAGTGAAGGCATCAGCGTCTCCATAACCTTGGCAGTTACCGACCGAAAAACCCACTGTGACTTGGCCTTTGGCAACGTTCATGCACACACCTTCAATATGGCGGATACGGTGGATATTTTCCACATCTTTGCCTTTCCAAAGATATAGAAGACCTTCGATGGTACCAGGAGTGGTGCATTCTGCACCGTTAAAGGTGAAGTACCACCGTTTACAGCATAAATCACAGTTGTAAATGCGAAAATCTCCATTCCAGAAAACGCGCAACCCGGTATCGTCCAACTCCTTGTTGAAAACACATTGCTAGAAATATTTGTGAGGGAAATATTGAAGATAGTTAGCGAAAATCTGTCTTGAATTCTCAAGATTTCATAATATCTTTAAGTGTGGACCTAAACTTTGCGTTCCGGCCAATTGAAACGTAATCTGTAAATATGACTTCTTAGATTTATGCAATAGATTATAAGGAGACAGAGAGGGAAAATCAGGGCGTTGACTGGGATACGTCGCATGATCGCAGTCGCTCTGACACATCACGATTTATATAAATATTAACAGTTAGGCCAGTTTGGTCATTATTTTCATAATTCCTTTTTTTTTCTGTGTAATTACACAAAACTATATGTACCATACGACTGTTAGCTGTGTTTGAGTTTTATTAACGTACGTAGTTTACAGTCTAACAGAGCGTGAAAACCTTCAAAACCCTCACAGTCTATTTCGTTTTCTCTTTGGTGATTTTGGTCTCTGCTCGCGTTATATTAACGTCAATTAAGGCGCTTGAAATCCTGATAAATCTTCGTTTGCTTCTTCTGTTGCTACTTACCGGCTCGCTTGTTCCGAAATTTCTCCGAGTTTAGATTGACGAAAAAAGCTCGGGAGAAGTCCGAGAAATGGTCGGATAGTGTACAAATTGGCAGATGGCGTGACAGCTTTAGCTCAGCTCCGAGTTTTGTTACTCAAACAAATAACACGGTTTTTCAACCAATGACAGCGCTCGTAATATCCGAAGTTTCTTATAACTCCGAATATTGAATTTCTAGTTTTCTAATTGGTTCACTCAACTCCAGTTATCAGCTCATATTATGAGTCACCTGATATGAAAATACATTGCACCAACGATAATTGCGGAGCTCGCTGGGTACGTGATTGGACATATCAAAATCGGCGCTAAGCGCCTCGTTGTCTATATACAATCTCATATCCAACGCGTTCACGGAAAATTGTTAAAAAACTTAAATGAAATTGACATATCTCAAGGCCTGGACTAGAAGCCTCCTTCTCTGAAACCCTTATGATCTCTTAATATATGCAGTTTCGACGGTATGTTTTCGAATTATTGAGCAGGTAACCAGCTATCACAAAACGCCCATTCACTCCGGTAATAACGTATCCCTACCGCGACTTGGCCATTGTCTTGTCCATTATTCATACTTTTGAAAACGCACTGCTTCCAACTACCACTCAATGGACCGGGCGGGCCTTGAGGACCAGTGCTTCCTGTCTCGCCTTTTGTGCCTGCTAGCCCTTGTAAACCATTTACCCCTGGGGTCCCAGGTACACCGGGTGTCCCGGGAATTCCTGGAACTCCTGGACCACAGCCTCTCTTGGAGGATGACGATGAGTCTGAACACTAAAGTGAAATAAAGAAAAGCGAGTACTGCTTAATATCTGTTCAGAAAAGCTTCAGGTTTCACCCATGGACATATCAATCACTGATGTAAGGGAAAATTTATTCCAATTGTCATGCAACCTCTCTAATTGTGAATTACGCGCAAATAGAAGATAACAATATCAGGTTTATGACCACTACCTTTAAAAAATGGATAAATAAATTGATAAAAAATCATTAATGGAAACTGCAATAAAGATATGAAAGAGGGGTTATCTGAATGATTTTCCGCTCTTTTTTGATCAGTCAATCAATTAATTAATCACTTCATTAATGTCAATGCGTGGGATCAAGTTTCTATGTGTATCCGTGCCAGAGGCTCATGTATAAGACGCATTCAGTAAGAAAAATATAATACCAAAATACTGGCCACAATTCTGAAAAGTTTAATGCTAAAACAAATGGAAATATCTAATGGCTACATTCATTTTGCAGCTCGCCTTTAAGTGTGAAAAATCAAATATCCTTCACTTCATGTAAAAGTCACTCAAGTTTGTTGATTGTTCAATATATGACAGGAGCTTACTCCACAATTGCGATATCTTGTAAGTAAATGAGTTATGCATGATAATGCCAAGTATGATAGATGGGTGAAACAAGATTATGACCACTATTCCTTTAAGTTTAATGGGTTTTACGATCCTCTAAAAAAATTAGAGATGTAATCAGGCCCATTTTTAACTCGTGAATTGCGCGCATGCGCAAGAGCGAGTTATAGATATGATGTGGGGAATAGAATTCGCTCGCTCGCTCGCTCGCTCGCTCGCTCGATTGGTCGATTCCTGTAAACTTTTTTTAGATTTTAGGCTTTTGAGTGCATTTGATAGTTTTTGGCGAGCAATAAACAGACGAAATGGCGACCTTTGTTGCTAAGAATAGTGGTGGGGTGAAAAAGGAGCCAATGATAATCTTAAAAGAGTTTTTTTTTTTCGTTTTAGTTTCAACAAGCGGCGCCAGCGACTGGCAGGCATGCAAGGATTCACACTGAAATAACAGAACAACCTTCGTTTTTCATAAAATTGTAATTTACAATCCTTGAACCTGAAAACAATCCGAAGATTCATTGAAAATATCACTTACTGCTAAGAGCTCGGAGTTTACAGATGTTCACAACTTTTTCTGTTATAGCGTGAGATTGAGGACAAAATTGATCATTACGTTTCGTCGCGTGTGTTTTTCCTGTGTGAAGCAACAGAAGATGCCGGCGACTGACGAAATAACAAGTTAACACGAAAATCAAATAACACCTAAAAAAACAATTTTAGCTACTGATTTTCAGTGAATTTTTAAAGAACAATTTTCTTTTAAGTTTCAAGACAATTTGAAGATTCAACATACATACAACGTACTAAAATGCGAAAGTTACACACCACAAAATTGATAAATAGGCCTGAAATGAAATTCTATCTTGTTATTGATTATACGTTGCCTAGCACGTGACTTAAATCTACCCAGGCGGAGATCCAAAATGACGGTGGCAGGCTTGGCTTAGATATATCACTCAAAACTCGTTCCCGTTTGTCTCATTTGATGTTTTCATTAAGACAGTATTGCCTTGATTTTCTAATATTTACAACGAAGGACAGTAAATTTCACTTTTCACCCACATTTACTTCTAACCTTTTCTTTTGAACCAGAAACAAAAATGATAGACGTTTAAAACACATGACATCGTCCACCTTGTAAAATGTAATAGCTGATCATTTCAATTGTAATGCCTTCTTATCCCAACGTTACTTTGTTTCTTTGCGACATTAGCGAACACTGAACTACTGCTTGTACTCTAGATATGACAATCAACCACAAAATTCCCTAAACCAGATAACATTGAACATAATCTAAAAAATCATGTGTCAATTCACGAGTTTGCTCACAGAGCACTTTGATCGTTTATACATTTAAAGAATAGATTATTTTATACTCGAAAGAATGTTCCAGAGAATGCCCATTTGCAAGAGACAATTTAGAATCATAATCTAAGTTGTTACATACATTTAAGAGGGCTATTAACGCTCAATAGTTAGTAGTTTGGAGTTGATTGATCAAACTCATTTTAAAAAAACACAGGATAATTATCCGAAACTGAAATAAAAAATATTGGCTCATTGGTCTTAAACCAGTAAATGGATCTTTGTTGTCTTGATATCGTAACATTTTACTGTTGATCTTGCTGAATCCAGGCATTTCTACGCCTTGAAGAGTAAAATTATTCAACTTGTTGTTCAGTCACTGAACTGAAATTATTATTATATTGCTCATTGTTCACTCACTCTGCACGACTCATACCCAAATAGAACGAACCTTTTGGGAAGAAAGAGAAGATCATAATGATCACTAACCTGACACGAGGGACTACATTCGTCAGAATAGTATTCTCTACTCTGTCTGGCAACAACAGACAAGTAAGGTAACAGAAGCACTGTTACTATGGCGAACTGAGCAGTCAACATACTGAATAAACCTGAAGAAATGTGAAATAGAACACATAAACAAACATTTGATGAGAATTTTAGTTTTCACATTATTAAACAGTTTCAACGGTTTAATGCTTTGGTCGTAGGTCGTGGCGTCTTCTCTTAGTCAAAGCTAGTGTAACAATTTCAGGGAAAGCTTAAAAGTTCGCTCTGCTATTGTTTAGAATACTGCAACGAGCTAAAATAAAAGGGACTTTACATGTGCACTGGAAAAGAATATAGAGAAACGCGTTGGCTAAGGTTATATACATAGAGAATAATACATGAGCCCGCGTAGATATGGAATTTCTCTTCGAGTGTTTTACGGCTTTTCTCAGGGCTGGAAATCCTTGTATAAAACCGTAGTTTATATGATAATAAAATTTATTTCTCAAGATTCATGACACTGCAAACTGTCCACAAAAGAGGTCCGACACCGTTTAAAGACATCCCTGGATATAATATCTCACTGCACGTCATTAAGTGCGAGCGGCGTGTTTTTTCCTGTTTGCACTCAAATAATTAGTTGCTTGGTAAAGGCACAATCAGAGTTAGCTTTTGACGACAAAAATATATCTTCAATTAAGGGCGGCAATCTACGTTCAAATAGGCAGTTATGTGGTCACGCAAAGCGGAATGTTCTGAGCTTCGCAATTTTGAATAACGGAATGTAAAAAAAAATCGATGTTCAGAAGACTGAGCCTCAACAAAGGAGAGGAAAAGAGGAAGGGCACTAAGGGTCGGTAATTTACACGAGGTCTAACCCAAACCACGATTTTACGCAATCATCGGGCCTTAGGCTCTCTCTACAAGAGGGTTTATGGATTGAATAGCTGCCCTTCCACTGTAAGCCTTAGGTCTTCTTGTCAATGTTCACAAAACCTAATGTTCAGATAAAATATCCAGCTAAATTAAGGATTGTTTAGGATGCGATTTTGTTAAAAAACTAATTAACTTTGTTCAAATACCCGGCCTCAGGAGTTGGTCAACTTGTAAAACGTTCCCTTTAGGTAATGCAAATATTTTCATTCCCATTTAGTAAACCAAGTTGTCAAGAGCTGTTTGTACAAGCAAGTTTTCACGCAATTTGCTACACCTTACGTCAGTCGCTAGTTGATCGGCTGATAGAGAGGTTATGGCAATTGATACGAGATCCCGAGACTGTTGCTGTTTAGGAGCAGTCGCTGGTTGATCGGCTGATAGAGAAGTTATGGCAATTGACAAGAGATCCCGAGACTGTTGCTGTTTAGGAGAGGGGGCGAAAAGAGAAAAGAGTGCATGGTTCATATGATTTTTGCGGAAATGAACTTGTTTAGCTGTGGACGGGTCAATCGGTCGAAGGCAAAACAGCTAAACTCAAATAGGAAGCAAATAATACTCACCAAGTTGATATGCAACCAACCAAGCTCGGTGTGTGTTTACACAGTCAAATTACCCGTTAAGACTGACGAAGGTAGTAAAGATACACATTTTTATAGATTCATAATACCAATGAAACTAAGAGGAAAAAATTCCAACTCAGTGAAGCAATTTGTTTGCACTAATGCTGTTTATTGTTTTGGGATTAAAAGCTAAGGACTCAAAAGTTAAGCCGGGCACGAAAGAGTTATATATCTTCCTGTTATCTGAAAATATCCTTTTGACTATAGAGTTGATAATGATTTTGCAGAATGAGGAGTGATGGTTTCTAGAGAAAAGAATTCTAAAGAATGAGTAACCGCAACAATTTTGCTGCTATTTGTCCTTCCTGCGAGAAAAAAATTAGGAAAAATCAAAAGCGTGTCCTTTGCGAGGTCTGCATGTCATTAACACATGCTCGCTGTTTTGGAGTCGCTAGCTTTAACGTAAAACAAGTCCAAGAGAATCTCTGATAGTCTAAAGGTAAGGTCTGTACTCAAGCCAAGTGGCTCCTCAGTCGGAGCTTGTCCCGGTTTCTTTAGCACGAAGCGTCTAAGAGTACTACCACTCCCCTGCTAAAAGTTAAACTTGCAACACAAAGAAGATTGCTTTGACCACTAACCCGTTTTGAGAGGCCACCATCATCGACTGAAGAGTTCTGTTTACTCCAAACCTTGGCGCATGTCTTGGCGCATGTCAAAGTGACTCCGTTGGTGTCTAGGGAACCACCGCAGGTAGGTATCGATGAAAATATAACATGGAAAGTGTAATAAAATCCTGAGCTATTTTGGTGATATCTCTGGTGAGGTGTATAGGAAGATGATAAACAATGAAATGGCTCACGCCATTCCATCAATAATTCTCACGTATTACCATTGGTTTTCGAGTAATAGATATGTTGGTAAGAATTGTCTGATGATACAGTTATAAGTATAATTATGGGAAGAAATATGAGCATGCAAGCATTTACCTTGGCTTGAAAACGTGAAAAATGGGAAAAATTGTGTCCTCTCAACAATTTTCGTGAGTAAGAACTGTATATATGACTCCCTGTGCTTTAATTTATTAAGTAACGACTCGCTAAGAAAAAAATATTAGCAAGGGAAATGAACAAGTGCATGCCCGAAAAACCTCACCAGAAACCGAATATACGCATATTGAATCAGAAACAAGCAAAATTTCATTATAACAAAAGTAGAAGGAAAAGAAGTAATTACTTAAAAGATCTGTACGGTTCTCTGGAAACAAACATGAACTAATTTATAAAGCGAATTACAACGATCTTATTCTGATGTTTTAGGATAACAATGAGGAGAGGAATGAACAATACACGGTTATGTAACAAGACGTCGAGGAAATAATCAGAAAAAAATTTGAAAAAATACGGATAAGAAACTGAACAACCAAAAGACAAGAGAAACAGTTCGAGACTAAAGCGCGATGACAAACATTTACGCTAGCAGTGAAGACAAAAGAAACCAAAAAAAATCTTGCAGCTACATGGACTTCCCAGGTTTTTTTAGATCTCTATAAACCCCTACGCACATGTTAATTCACAGTGTTACATTGAAATAGCGCAGAGAGGGCGTGAAGGCTTCATCTCCTATTGTTTAGAATACAGAAAAAAAGAATAAAGAGGACTTTGCGATCTTACAGGTGTAGAATACAGAGCAATTCATAAAATAGGAAGCATAGCGAAGCTGTTAGACAAAGGATACCTTTGAATGAATGGAGAAGCCGTGGAGAATGTTGATAACTTCATGTATATGAGAACCAAGATATCAGAAATGTGCAGCGGTAACGGAGAAGAAGAGATTCGAGCACACCGTTCAAAGCACCTGGAAATCCAAGTGCTCCGGCTAGAGAACAATTTTGCATCTCTTCAAAAATAACGTGCAAAGCAACCGCTTGTCATTTCAAAGCAAAATCCTGGAAGATGACGCAGACAATTTGCAACAAGGTAGTAGTCTTCCAGAACAGATTTCTACGAATAAATTTTCTGCATCTCTTGGCTCAACACCATCTCCAACGATGAGTTGGAGATGGTTTGCTAGCCATGTGCTCCGATTGCCACCGTCAGCCCTGTCCGGAGTCCAATGGACTTCCAACGGACGATGAAAGAAAGCCAAAAAAAACAAAAGAAAAGAAAGAAAACTTGCCATTTCACACTGACGGACCCATAACGGATCGACTAAAAAGCAGAAGAGGTTCTTTGTAAAGAAGTAGTTTTAGGCCTTGTTGTGATTTGCATTGAAAAGAAACAATTGAAAGCCCATCGGCAGTATGCAGCTCGCGATATTTTTCCAGAATTGGCCTATTACGGAATGTGGTCGTTCGAGAGACTGATGAACCTCCACGACCCAGTGCACTCAAGATAACAAACCAGTTCAAATCAATTGATGATTCATTTTCGAGGTTGTATTTGCTCTCTTCATACCTTCTCAAATGTATTCAACATAAAAAAGATAGCTGAGTAATACCTTTCCATTATATGATATAAATTGAGTGGCCAAGATAATGTGAACACCTTAGCTGAATCTATTATAAAACAATCAGCGTTTCCACAACCATTGAGGTTACCGACCGAGAAACCCACTGTGACCTGGCGTTCGGCAACGATCATTCACACGCTTTCAACTTGCCTTTCTAAATATAGAGAAGACCTTCAATGGTTCTAGCAGCGGTGCCGTTCCGCACCATTGAAGATGAGGTACCATTGTTTGCAACGTGCATCGCAGCTGTAGATGCGAGTATTCCGATTCCAGAAAACGCGCAACCCGGTGTCATCCGACTCTTTGATGAAAACATACTGCTAGAAATATAATAAAAGTGAAACATTAAAGATGCAGGAACAGCTATCACTCTTATTGGCAAAGCAGGCGATACATGAAAATGTAGTATCTCCGACGTATCAAATCAATGTATTTAAAAAAACAATAAATAAATAACTAAATGTTTAGTTGAAAATTAAAGATAAAGAGTGTAAATGCAGTATCTCCGACGCTGCTGTAGATCGTTGAAAGCTTGGAGCAAAAGAAAATACAGTAGCTTACGCCTCAATCAATCCTTCACTGTTTTGGAAACTTTTCGTCGCGTACGAGACGTATTCCTTTTTCTTTACACTTTCCCTTACAAGGACAAGGTTTGCATCAACTATCTCTTTTTTTAAGGTCCACTTCTTTCTCATACTATAGCAACACAGCAGTATTCCCAAGCAGAGCAGAGCGTGTATGAGAATACCAGCCATCACTGAAATAAATAACCATAGCCTTTTGTTGACAGAATGAATTCATCTGGCCACGACGATTTCTTAAGACCATAAACATTATTTCAAAATTGATACCCCTCCGAGTGAAAGTCTAAGGACGACCTCCGATCTTACTTTTGACACAACTTGTGGGTACTTTCTGATCACTTTTTTTAGCATCCACTACGCTAACTTGTCCCGAAATTTTGTGTAGTCACCTTATTGTCACAAGGAAAGAAAATAGGAAACCAATTCCGATTTTTTAAATGATAAAATGGTCTAAAAATTGTTTGAAAGAAATAAAAGTATTAAAAATGCTTAAATAAATACACTGAAAAAAAAACACATTCATTTACAAGCTTTATGGTTCATCATTATATTGATATTTATTGGTATTAACGATATTAACACTAGATAAGTAACGAAAAAATGACACTCAGAGAAAATTAAGGAAGAGGGTCACATATTAGGCTTTTTGATCTGACTGAGTGTCATATTTATCTCAGCCCGTCTAATTTATAATCAGCTTGGCGAACAAATGTATTTCCGCAAACTATTATTGGAGATGAACTCTTTTATGTGTAGCTATTTTGCTTCTAAACATTAGCATTGCACGTTTCATAACAATATCGTTGTTGGTTGGAACCGCATTGAATATCAAAATTCAATTAGCTTACGTATGCTTCTTGATTGACATTTTCTGCCAAGTACATTATTTTCCACTTAAGACTTCATGAGCAACCTTCAAATTAACATGCCATTAAAATGAGCCTGTGTATTAGATACTGAGTTTGCTACGTAGAATAGTAATACGCCGGACTTTTCTTAGGTGACAAGCTGAAATGAGAATCAAAATTTAACTAAAACATAGGCAACAAAGATTCTTCCTCTTAGTCCGCCGTTCATGAAGATTGAGTTTATAGATTTTTCCGGGTTTTTGAACACAGGAACTTTATCCAAACAGCAATCAAGCTTTATTCAAACAGGATTATGAAAGAATCCAGAAAATAAAATTAATTTCGGAATGAAATATTTGTCTTGACATTGTTTTTAAAAAATTATAGATAGATCTGTATACACAGATATATACGGTTTACACAGCTTTAACTTCAGTCAGACCTTAGTTATACCAAGTGAACTGTGCTAACAGCTCAGACAAACAGACCATAGCAAATTGCTGAAACACATTAACGGAGGACACTTGCATTAAACAAAATCATGATCACTGAGCAAACAAAAGCGTTAAATTTCTCTCAGAAGCACTGGAGTATTGGTGAACCCTCTGATCAAGAGATACTTCTGAGTTTCTGCGTTCTTGGTCGGTTCCCTTGACACTTTACAGTCATGTCAATTTTGCTTATTTTGAAATTCATCAGGTAATATATAGTTTATCTCACAGTTCAGCTTCCTATTTTAGCCTTTATTGTCCTATTGACAGTGTATAACAGCCCAAGAGGTAAGTAAAACAGACTCAAAGAACTAAGATGATTCTTTATTATTTCCAATCGTTCCAAGCTCCGAAAAGAAAGCAAACGTTTTATTTTCATTGCTTTGCTTCAAATATTTTGGTAGCGAATCCTGCAATATTTGGTTATTTTGTTTTCGTTCCAAATTCTTAGACTGCTGTAGCATTCTCGCAGCAATTTTATCAAAATATTAGGAAATCTCGGTTACTTAAAGCGCTCTACGTTTCACGCCGATATCTTGAAACGTTTTCGGCATGAAACATCATGAGTGTTAATTCTAACACAAGCGTTGACTTGCATGTTCACTTACGACGGTGTCTTTATATAATTATATCATGTGATTTGCTGGTTTCGTTAACAAAAACAGAAAGTCTAAGAAAATAAAAATTTCTCTATAGCACTTCCCAAAATAACAATAAAACGATCTTAATGAGCTTAAAAAAGAGATAATTTAGTTTTCTTATCAGAGTTGAAAAAGTAAATCGGCCACCGTAAAGAGTTTCTAATGCTTTAAAAGAGAGATGTTGCCCACGAAATAGTTTTGATACGACACTATTTTTTAAATTTGTTGCCATTTTCAGGACAGAAAATTTTGTTTATTCCTCAACTGTCATGTTCTTGCTTATTGTGCCGCCGTTCACCTTGTGCGCTGCAACGCACAACGAGTCTAGCAACCTTCCAGGATACCACAAAGTAAGTTCATTTCAATTAGCAAGTGTAACACAAAAAACAGCGATCAAGTGACGCACGAAAGTCTTCACAGCGCATGAAATCCAAACCTAATACCGCATCAAAATACAGATACATTTTCATGGCATCTTTCGAAAATCCATCAGTTTTATTATTTTTTCCTACTTAATCATTTCTATCTTTTATTCTATTTTTACATGACTCAAAACAGAGTCCTCGATTATGTTATGGAGGAATTCCGGGAAAAAATGGTGTACCAGGTATGCACGGCAAGCCTGGTATCCCAGGATTACCTGGTCGCGACGGCCGTGATGGACGCGACGGAGCTAAAGGCGAAAAGGGACGCCCGGGGAGCCCTGGACTCCAGGGGCCAACTGGTCCACCAGGTGATAAAGGGGATAAGGGAGAACCTGGTACTCACGGTTCACCCGGCCAAAGAGGAGAGCGAGGGGAGAGAGGCGAGCCTGGAAAGCCAGGGACGCTTCAACTTTCCTCATGCATGAATTCGAACTGGAAAGAATGTACATGGAGAGCAGGGGACGGCAAGGACCAAGGTTTGATCCAGGTGATTAATAACTCTTATTTTAAATTCAGAGATAATAGGTCAGATAATCATGATGATGAGATAGTCCAAGATCAGAAATGATTTCTCAAATAGAATCATTCGGAATTTCTCTTTTGCTTAGTGTTCAGGAATGCTTGTATCAAACGAAATAGAAATAGGTAATACTGATTAATAAGTAACTTCGAACAGTTCTCACTTCAAAGCTCACAGCAATTGATTGTGAGGAAGCCATGAAGAAATAACTTTGAAATTTGTTGAATCCGGCAAGGAGAAGATCAGAATTTTTCACAAATATATATTTCCTTTCTAATCATGTTTGGGGTTTGTTTATACATGTGTGTGTGTATATATATATATATATATATATATATATATATATGTATATATATATATATATATATATACACCCGTTTTCAAAAACATCGCAACATTGAAAATATGTATGAAATATATTGATATATCTTTTGTTTTATTCTCAAAAAGTGCTTCAACGTATTGAGCACTGTTCCCCGCGAAAATCGACTTGCAGACTTCCTATATATATATATATATATATATATATATATATATATATATATATATATATATATAGTACACACATACATACATGAAAGAATCAAAGAGGACGCATCGATTCTCTGTTACTCTGAGTTTCGCGCCTAAGCGCTCGTCAGACAGTTGTCTGACGAGCGCTTAGGCGCGAAACCCAGAGTAACAGAGAATCGATGCGTCCTCTTTGATTCTTTCACTTATATATACTCAGCTCTGCTACCACAGCATTGAGCACTTTATGCCAAAGTAGACTCTACCCCCACATATTTATATATTTATATATATATATATATATATATATATATATATATATATATATATATATGTATGTATGTATGTACTGTCACCTACTTTTTCGAACGCTTTCATCATAGAAATTTACTTTGTTCCCACAGAATTGTGAATTTACGAAAAACTTTTCCGACACTTCCCTCCGTGTATACTTTGCTGGTAATCTAAGGATTTATAAGTGCAACCAGTGCTGTAGCCGTTGGTATTTCACTTTCAATGGCGCCGAGTGCAGCGCCCCTGGCCCCATCGAAGGCGCAGTCTATATGAATCGCGGGCAGGACCAAGATCTTCATCGTCACCGCCATATTGAAGGCCACTGTAACAACATTCACAAGGGAAAAGTACGTGCGGGATTCTGGGTTGGTGATTGCAAAACGGGTCATACACTTGCTGACGCGTATACTGGTTGGGCAACACTGTCCCGTATCTTCATCCAGGAGGTGCCAAAAGCTCAACAGTAATATTTTGCTGTCGTTAAACGTGTCCCAGATCGAAAAAGCCAAAAAATGGAGAAGGCTACTGATTGAAGAAAACTGTATGCATGAAGTTTCTTAGAAAGAAATATTGTCTTAAAGAATCTTTACATTTGTATCGAGGAATAAAGTACAGGGACGTCAACCTGTTAAGACTTGTTTTGATTGCGTTGGGGTTCAGAAAGCGTTGAAAGGTCTAAATATACTATAATTTAATCAAAACTCATACTTTGGCAAAACAGCGATTATCTCAGTTTTTCTTTCACTGTTATTTGATGATCAACTTGGAGAAAGTTTTTGTAGCTTAGTGGAATACAAGTTATACCAACGATTATGTTCGCTAGTCCTTATTTTGTTTTCACACCAAGTGATCTGTATAATTCTCGTTAGATTTCAACTCAAATACCTCAACGTAACCTGTGCTCTATAAATCGTTGAGTATAAACTGAAACAAATCAGTTCGAATCTTGAACACAGATTCTGGTTATTGAAACCAACAATGAAACATAGTTTGCCTTAATTTTTACTTTCCGTGTTATATGCTAGTTACCAGGCGTTAGGTTGGTGAGGCCGGCAAAAAATTGTACCCGTGGTCTTGATATGCAGATATCAACTTGTATGTAGGTATAAGTATAAGGCTAAGCTGCGAGCACTGCAAGCTCCGCTATGAGATTGCAGTGACTAAGAAACCAGAGTGAGGAAAATACATAAAAGAGGGTGGAAAGTTAAAAACTTTTTTCGATGCTACATACTGTTTTTTGCTTGTTAAACGTGATCCTTCATATCGGCATATTTCCAACGACTAAGAGGTTTAATAAAATTACAAAATTACATTTTTTATAATCATACTCAGAGAGGAGAATGATGTATTCATCAGGTTGTTATTTCACTTCTCTGGTTAAGAATGTGCATAGATCTTTGCTTTCCTCTCTTTAGTCGTGCCATGATCATTTTCGAATGAATAAATTTAGGCTGGCTATGACAACAAGCAGACACAATTGCTGGACTGATAATTCATGAAAATAACCCATTCCCTCCATTCACTGGTCAGTAGTCAAACTCATCCATCTTTAATCCATACGTGCATAGAATTCCGTCACCTCATGACCTTTACAATCAAGTTAGCAAACACGTTGTTGGAAAATGCAAACAAAGTATTAAGAACCACTTAGTTCCTATTCAGTTGATGTGAGAAATAAACATTTTAAAACATGGCAGCTGCTACGCTGTAGCAAATGCTATTTACTCCAGCGAAAACGAAGGCTGCAGAATACACGTCACAGACTGCAATAGAAGTAAATCAGATTGCTAAGACCTCGTGCGGCGAATCACTGACTAAAACATTGACGGTATATCGGGAAGTTTATTGACGAGGGTGTAAATGAAGGGCTTTGATACCACTATTGTGAATTGTATAATCAGTTCTCACCGATTTTAAAATTGCATTGAAGAGTACTAAGCAACACTTACAGTTCAAAATGGAATTGACATTCAGTATCGCTAACGTAGCAAATTATCTCGGGAGTTATCCGGTATTTGTATAATAATCTATTAATGTGGCCCAATTAGCAGATAAACACTAAAGCCTGGATAAATCTTTCACAAATATTTATCAAAACACGGATACACCGAAAAATAGCATCGTTCATGATATTTTCACACGTAGTTATAAAAAAATCCCACTCTGACAGGTCACACGTATAACTATCTAATGGTGTAAACAGGAAATCTAAAGGCTATTAATGGATTTATTTGTTCCGTGCCTTGTTCTTCCAGCTGCACTGATTCGCACGCTCAAAGTGATTCACGTTCACAAAAGGAATTACTGAAGCAGCCTCTCTAACAGTTATTCCAAATCAAACTATTCAATTCGTAAGATTTTCTCCAATTAATTACAGCCACCTTAAATGACCTGCCCTGTTTATTGTATTTTTGCAGCATTTTTTGCCTCTCTAAAATTCTGTCAAAGAAGGTATTTAGACCCAGACTATTTCGCGTTTCTAAGATCAAAGAACGTCCTAGTTTACTTTGTTTTAAGTTCATCCCACGAGTCTGTTTGTCTTGTCTATATTTCGAAGATCTTTCAGTCTAACATTACAAAAGTATTGAAAAATTCAAAGCTGAAACCCAATTCCCGAAAAACTAAACTAAAACTAAATGTACCAGGTACCTCTGCTAGCTTAGGTGAATTTAGCTAAGGAACAACTAGGTGAACTCTTTATAAGAATGTTTTAATCTGTTTAATCCATTATTAAAAGATAGCGAAAAATAGATCCAGATTGCTGAGAGCTTACCACGTTTACGTGGACTCCGTTAAAATGATTGTGTTATTGACAGTATCTGACACACGTTGAGTGAGTGTTCACGGGATTTGATTCATATGGAACGGATCCCACTCGGACGTGGCTGCATCTCAAGGTTAAATACACTGAGAAAACAAGCCAATGCAAACACAAAAGCCTAGATGACACAAATTATCTTCAACATTATATCGGATGAATCTACAGCTGTATAAACCACTCTGAAGGTATAACAAGAGTTGCGAGCCAAACATTTCGTTCACTTTCGACCAACAGGCAGGTATTGAGTGCACCTTTAGGTTCTCGTTAGCCTTTGTCTTCAACTTACAGTTCGTAATGTTTTGATTCAATTTTGCAGTGTTGTGTTTATGCCATTTGACCTGACTTCACCCAGTAACCTGAGTTATTCCGTGTAGGTAAGTTATTCGGGTATATACCTCCTGTGGTTTTTTTTTTTTTTGGCAATACTTTTTCTTCAACTTACAGAAATACTTTGGCTGAAAAACCCTTGTCTTGATCTCTTTGAAAACGAGTCCAAATTTTCAAGGAGAACCTAGGAGACAAAAACGAAACTCAATGGCAATAAAGACAGTTTTTTCCAGTGTTGGTTCAACGATACATTTCCTCTTATATTTCAGTTCAAAAGATCTCAATGCCGAGATTCCGTAACAAGACCTCATCAGCCATCATGAAATGTTTGCTGACCTTAATACTGATCGCTTTGGGCTCTGCTTTTAACGTGAGTTGAAAATAATTAGGATTACAGTCAACCACTGGACATTTATCCATCGGGTGATAATTGATAAATGTTAATCTTCTCTGACTCTGAGTTTTTATTAAAAGTGGTAAATAAGTTCTGAAGGTAGAAGACGAGAGGTGGCATATTTTTGTAGCATTCCCATTCCCATCTTTTACAAAACAGCTATATTACGTAAAATCACATTTCTTAATTTAAAGTTGCACACAGAAGAGTGACAAAAGTTATAATTATTATAGCGAAAAAAGAAGTTGGTCAGTGGTTTGTTCAAGGGAAACATGCCTTTTGCTCTTTCTGAATGGAGAGTGAGTGAAAAAGATATTGTATGCATTGACAAGTTCTTGACGCTCCCTTTGCTTTTCGAATTCTCTCTTGTTGTTGATAAACCGACATTCAACGAGCCGAAAAAAACAAAAGACTCATCCAAATTTCTCAACAGAGCACCCAAACCATGACACACTGTGGATGTTGTGGTTGTAGTTGCATGCCAGGAATCCCAGGCATTCCGGGAAGTCCCGGACCTGCGGGAGCAACAGGATCTCCAGGAGCGCCCGGACCTGAAGGAACCGCGGGACCTAAAGGTAACCCTGGTGAAAAAGGAGACGAAGGCCCTCGAGGCCCGCCTGGGGAAACTGGGAGTCAGGGACCTCAAGGACCACCTGGTCCTCAAGGCCCAAAGGGTGACGAGGGCGAACAAGGGATTCAAGGCCCCCAAGGCCCCCGCGGCCTTCCAGGGTCAATCGGACGTAACTGGAAGCAGTGCGTGTTCAACGGCCTCAGTGATTCAAAGGACATTGGTTTAATAAAGGTAAGGATTAAATCATATTAACTGGCTGTATTTTTAACGAAGACTTATCACAGAAACGTTGCGACTGTGCGACGTATTGAAAAAAGACATGTAAGTAAAACTGGAAATAAGCAAGAGGTTCATTGACAGGGTATCCACTTTGTGACTCTTCATCTGTTACTAATTCAATATGAGTATCTATGATTAAAATGTAGTACGTGTGTGTGTTTTTTTAAGGAATCTCGAGAGATTCGGTTGGTCTGTCCACCAGATTGAGCGAGAAAATAATATTTGGAAAGTTAATGCGTCCGAGAAATCTAAATCAAATCCAGAAAAAATTGAATAAGATGGCCACGAGAACTGAAACAAGCATAATATATTATGAGTAAAATACAGTAACAGAAGTTTTTTGTAAGGAATTCATCGGTATACATGCTTTATCTTCTGCTTAATTAGTCACGACTCCTTATTCCTTCAGGAATGTCGTTTCAGAAAAGGATCATCCAAAACTGGCCTTCGTGTCTTCTGGAATGGAGTTCTTCGCATTAATAACTGCCACGCTTGCTGTAAGCGATGGTATTTTACTTTCAACCGAAGAGAGTGCGCGTTTCCAGCTGCAATTGATGGAGTGGTATACATGTTACATGGAAATCAGGGAAGGAAGAATCTACTCCGTGTCCGACATATTGAGGGAGTGTGTGAAAATATCCCGGCGGGCATCGTCTCCGTGGGATTCTGGATCGGAAATTGCGCTTCTTATGGGAGTTGTGATGGGCACACTGGTTGGAACTCAGTGTCCCGCATCTACATAGAGGAGGTACCGCCTCCACAACCTTAAAAACTGTTAACTCCGTCGCTGATGTCCAACAAGCTACCAAAATGATGATTTATGAACAACAAAACTGATTTTTAGGACAGAAAAGCTTATAATGTAATAAATAATTAATAGTCAATTAAAGGCGAAAAAATGTACACAGTTTCACGGCTTCTTGATCATTTTGAAAGATCTTGACATCTTTTTTGGGCTTCTAATAATCTCGAATGACGACAAAGTCAAAAGGAATGCACAGAGGAGGACATGGAGGATCTTTTTAACTGAGGTCACTGCACAACTCTTTGCAAAATTTTTTGGGTTGAAGAGAGAACGTATTTTCCTCTACACCCTGATCTGCCTTAGTTAATAGCATTTCATCAGATGACCGCCGTCTCTCTCGTGCTGAGCATCTTGCGCGCCATACGCAGAGCCAAGCGGCTTTTTCTGGCACTATTACGTGCAGCTCCTAAACACGATTTTTTAAATAGTACCGTGGTTTTCATTATGTGTGTGGGGCTGTGGGGTCCCATGACGTTACTTGGTTGAACCTCGAATTTATTCAAGATTTTTTTCCCTCAACAGTGCTCACATTTTAGGTCTAATTGTAACGCAAAAGGTGAAAATAAAAGAAAGGAAAACATCAAGTGACTTGAGCTCAATCAAGCCTATGTCACTGGTTTTTGTGTAATTTGTTTTCTCTTTTTCGATCAGCTTGAAGATAAAATCTTAGACTTCGTCACCTTTCGGTCTGAATTCTGAACTGATACTTCGTAGTGAACGTGATTAGCTCAAGATATTTTCTTCCTGTAGCACTTGTTCCTTTTCACGTGCCTACAAGACAGTATGAGCAATGAAAAAACTTCCTGTCTCGCCTACAGAGCTCTTCAGGATTAATTTAACTGAAAGTTATTCACTACTTCATATGACTGATTAAAATTTCTAAGGACTGAAATTAAGACCATATTCAGGTCACTACTGTAGGGACAATCGTCTTCTTCTCTGGTAGTTTTGGACTTCTTCTTATTCCTATCAAAACACTTTTTTCCACATGTCTATCGAAACCAACAGCTGGTTAATTTTACTTGTTGGCCATGCCTCAGCTACAATTAGCCGCTGAAAGGGAACAAGCGCTGCAGGAAGACCATATCTCGAAAATAATCAGGCTCTGCTGTATAATCTTTTTAATTCTTTGCTGTTCGCGTACGAGAGAGGAGCAATTCATCCTTGCAAGACACAAATCCAATAGTAAGTTTCTTTTTCTTATTTAGAGTCTCTTTAACTCATCATTTAGATTACTTGACTCTAAATTTTTAAGCTGGAAGATTTCTATAATCATGTGTGCAAATGATGGCGTTGCAGATACGATTCCTCTCTCTCTGGCTCAATCTTAGACTAATTTCCACGTTAATTTGAAGCAATGATGCTGAAAACGAGAGCTTTGTTTGTTCGGCGTACAAATCTATTTCTTTAAAGACGAATAGCATTTTTCCACAAACCGAAGTGGGTTGCCCAGTTTCCGAAATTTTAAAAGATTACTATAAACTTAACGCTCCAAACGCAAGATCAAACGCAAGATACTACATGGTCTAGAATCTTGAAGCATTTTTCTACAATCTGTGTAGTTGCAATACTATTTTTCGCTAAAGGTCAACATTTGTACTGTAAATTTTTCGCCTTTTTTTTTTTCTCAAGCCACGCTCCATGTTCTATTTCGGCTAAATTCGACTCGGCTTTCGGCTTTGTTTATGCGAGATAAAAAAGAAACATTCTACTCAGTCTCGTTCTGCACGAGCAACACTTGATAAAATGGAACTTTAGCATTTGAGATGCAAACTGTGACCTTAAGACGAATTTAACAGCTTTCACTTCTACGACACCCATTTCACTAAAAAAGGGAAAAAATATATTTTGTACATATTGACAAAAAATGTATTACAAGTATCACTGATCATGAAAAAGACCATTCAATTAATCCCTGGCTGCAGTTATCTCCGTCACGCTCCTAGTGCTTCTCTACTTATTCAAAAGGTCTCCACACAGTAAACCGTTACCCGTAAAACGTCCAAAATTTAAGCCGATAGGCGCAAAAAAATTGACAAATTTTAACCACTAGTCTTAAAAAAAGTTAACCCTCAAACATTTGTTTTTTGATTACAACAGAATTAGATTAGCGGTTAGACGTAAAATGGCCAAAATTTAAACCGATAGTGCGCGTGGGATTCTGGGTTGGTAATTGTCAGGTCGACAGCCGAAACGATTACGATGCCTACACTGGTTGGATTTCAGTGTCGCGGATCTATGTCGAGGAAATCCCCAAACCCCAAGCCTAATCAGATTTCGAAACAACACATTCTTGCGGCATAAAAGCTTGGACTGGCGACAATTAAGTATGACGTGTGCTTTGTAATAATTGTTTATTTGCTGATAAAATAAAAAGCAGAAAGACGATGGAGAATATTTTGTGTGCGTTTGGTTTCCATTTGTGACTACTTCCTTTACTAGAAATAACTTGTCGGTTGGTGTCCTTTTTGTTAATGCGACATTTTCCACAGACAGATCTTTTTGTCAGTCTTGATGATCCTCGATGAGCAAGGCCGTTGTTACGTTTATATGTGACACGCGTCCCACAGACAGCTAAGATCAGCGAGGTCGAAAGCCTCCTGTGAGTAACTAGAATAAAGTAGGATACAAACCCTCTTTCAGCTTCAAAGTATTTTTAACAAAAACTTCTGAATTTCCAGATTTCTCATCTCTATGGCTAGATACCAAGTATGCTTCTCACTACAACGCGGAATATGCATTTAAAAAATAAAATAAGTATGGTCATTTCCATACTCAGCCATCCTTGTTTAAAAGGATCAACTTCAAATCCTGAAAAGAAGCTTAAATTTTATATGTAACAATTAAGGCCTATACTGCAAGGGTTATATTTACAGGCTGAAGAGGATGATAGGAAATATGTTTAACTTTGAAAAAAGTCAACTTTAAATAACTATTTCAAATCCTTGATCTGAACAAAATTTCAACTAATTCCTATGGAACCTGAGATTTATTCCTAATAAGAGTTCGCCGCGTTTTAATTACGGTCACGTAACCAAATATTTGATCAATATTTTCTGTAAGAACAAGCTATGGACAGGAATACGTCTTCTTCGGGCCCATTATAATCCACAGTCCGATTCGTTATCCCAAACAACTTATTGTCTTTTGTACTCAAGGGAACAGCTGGATCAGTAGGTGAGTGTGCAATTTATTTTGCCTCTTTCATGTTCCAATCCTCGGACGACCATCATCGCAATGAGAAGACAAAAAAAACAAAACAAAACAAACGATTATGACAGCAAGGAAACTGTCCACTTGACAGTTTCAAAGAGCAAGGATAAACTTTCGAAGCAAATGATGTACTTGTTGAGTGAGACGAAGAGCCTCAATTTTCCCTTACGACCCGACCTATTTAAGGTTTTTGTTAAAATTTTTAGAACTTTTTTCGAAATTTTTGAACCGGTACTCACCCCCTTAGCCAACTTAATACTGTCACGAAATCAAACTTTCTTCCATTTGAAATTAAACATAATTCAATCCTACGCATTAGCAAAGTTTTATTGTGGTAGGTTAAAAGCTAACGTTTTAACCATGTGTTCCTTTCCCTACGATTGATGCTGAAAAGAACTTCCCGTAAGTCTCAAATTCATTCTTTAAGATATACGTGATAAAGAGCAATTCAGCTGCCTTTAATAGTTACCTTGATTACCGGTTCAAATCTTACGCCACATTCAGACCAACGTCGGGCAGATAGCCAGCAGCTAACTGCATTGTGTTACTTTTTTAACGTTTTTATAAAGAATATAGGAAACTTATGTTTTCCTATGTAATCTTTGGCCACTCGCATGTTACTAATCGTACCCTTGCGGTGTTTTCGTCACGATCGTCGTGTTTCCAGATCCATGAATGTAAGTTTTCTCACGTAGCCAGCTTCTTAAAGCGCATTTAAAGGTGAAAGGTGATGACTCATATGGCTGTTGATCATTAATATGACTTTAGGAGTGAAATCGAAATCTATGAGAAATTCAGTTGTTATTTATTCTTCAGTAACAATCAGGCTAAAAGAAACAAGCGCTACAGGAAGACCGTATCTTAGAAAAATATTATTATCAATTCGCTGAATCTTCTCAGTTAATTGCTGCTCGCTCACAAGAGAAGAGCAATTTAGCCTCGCAGAACGTATACATCACAAATAGTGAGTTCTACTTTTTCTTTTGTCATATTTAGAAACTTCTGGCTAGCGTTTTAAATACGTCTACAGTTATGTTGATTTCAATTTACACAAAGACAGATGTATATGAGATTTATGCAAGGCCACATAATCTCAATCAGGCCAACTACAATCAGATTTGTAGCGGAAGCAGTACCAGTGCAAATCATTTGAACGAGGCTGAGCAAAACACCTTCACTTTCAATTCGAGAATTGGCGAAGGGCAATTTGTTTAGCAGAGGTTATTGGATATATTCATTCATGTAACGCAAGAGAATACAAATGTGTGGAACATTGATTAGAGTTAAAGATCGTTTAAAAAGAAAACGATTTCGTAGGGAGGGAAAACCAAAGGACTTGATGAAAAGTGCGAAGAAAAAGAGCAAAGCTAAGGTGTATTTTATGTAGGCCGCAGGATCAATCCAAGCACATAGCGCAATATTTGCGACTCTGCCAAGCAACCTTTCAGCGTTATAAGCGGCTAGAATTTTCGAAAAAAACTTAGTGAATAAAGAAATGAATAAAATATCAGGTGCTTACAAAGTTTGACTCGGTCCTAATCCACAGAGGTTGAATCTACACTAGGAACTGATCAGCTGGCCAACATGTCGAGTGCAAGTCTAGCCCTGTTGCTCTTACTTCTAGCTTCACTCCATATTGCAGCAGTAATTGCAAATGGAAAACAGAACGATGATCAGCCCATGGTAAGTCATTGAGACCAACCAAATGTTTTGATGGCATTGCTTCTGCGGGGATTAAGCCGTTTTGAGTTAGGCGTTGAAAGCAAGTGAGAAAAATTTTGACTCTTCATAGTTATGTTTCACAATGCTTTTTTGATTGACTCGCTACGTCTCGGGCCACCGAACCAACATCTCAGAATCAAGAGATTTCATTCTCTTCCTTAGTATCTACTTAAACTAATATTTACTTTTCATACATACGTACAAAATACCTTTATGAGTTCTAACTTTGAGGAAACAATTCATGTTCAAACTAGTCACGTCCTCCTTACTGTAATGCCGGAATACCTGGTATGCACGGGAAGCCTGGGTCCCCTGGGTTACCAGGTCGTGATGGTCGAGATGGACGTGAAGGAGTCAAAGGTGATCTGGGCAGCCCAGGGAAGACTGGACCTCAGGGACCACCAGGCCCTAAAGGAACTCCGGGCGCCAAAGGAGAACCTGGAGTACAGTGTCCTTCTTGTGAAAAGGGGCAGTCTGGAGAGAGTGTGGCTCCTAGTGTGATGTCTTTTAAGAACTGGAAAGAGTGTGCGTGGAAGGACTTGAATGTTGGAAAAGATATCGGCCTCATCAAGGTGAATAGTAATGATTTTGAGAGGAAAAATAATTAAGCGTGAGATTGTTGTGGTATTTACTTGGTTTGCGGGTTTGTTTATTTTTGCATTGCATTAATTTCCCACAAACAAAACGGCCACAAGTAAAGACGTCCTTTCTGAAGTTACGCCTACATTTTCCATGTTCTTTTTATCCGTTTATCTTGGGTTCATAATAACTCTATGCAAAATAACTCTTTTTCACAGGAGTGTGTGTTTACCAAGAACTTTTCCGACACATCTCTCCGTGTTTCCTGGACTGGAACTCTTCGAGTCTCTGGCTGCACCGGCTGCTGTAAACGCTGGTATTTCACCTTCAACGGTGCTGAATGTTCAGGTCCCTTGCCAATTGACGGTATTGTGTACCTGGGTGGTGCCAAGTCTCTAAATCCTCACCGTGTCCGCCATATTGAGGGTCACTGTAACAACATCCACAAAGGCAAGGTGCGCGTGGGATTCTGGGTCGGTGACTGTGATGGATATGGAAACGCTGACGCCTATTCTGGTTGGAAGTCAGTGTCGCGGATCTATATCGAGGAAATCCCCAAACCTCAAGCTTAGATTTTAAATAGAACACTGAATGTGGTTCTAAAATAATAACTGGGGCAGTTATCCGAATTTATTGTCTCGAAATATTTCTTGGTAGTTTTTGCCTCGTCCTTTAGACATAATATTCGGGTAGATCGCGATTACCTGGTAAACGCGACACAATAATAATAAAAATCTTTTTATTCAAGTACAAGTTGTGTCCACTTTGTTATAAGACAATTTGTTCGTGCTTTGAGCCGTGCGTATATCGAGTTATGGATGCACGTGGGGAAGTTTGGACTCATCCAGCCTGAAAATTTCCCTTCCCCCCCTCCCCCACAGCTGCTATAGTACTTTACAGATGAGGGCAACGAGTGCGCAGCCTTCTGAAAAAACCAAACCCAACTTACCCTTTTTTTTTTGGTAAAGTCAACGGTCACGTTACCCTCAATCAGCATAAGCGGAGCCCTCTTGGAAACATCAGTAAGGCCGTTATTTCTCATCTACTTCATGGCCCGATGAGGAGATTCGCTGGCACTTTCTTCATCATAAAGGTGCTCATGGAAACGGTTCATGAGCTGCTCTGTTGCTGTGTCATCCAGAACCCAAGGTGCAGCCAACACTGAGCAAGCACCGGATCCCAAGAATTCTCGGGCGATTCCCACAACTCCTTCCGATCCGGTCTGTCCACCCCCACTGTGACAGCAGCTAAGTGCAACCAGTTTAGCTCGCACTTGAACTTTGGAAATGTCAGCCATCGTCAAAAGGTAGTCTTCTTCTTGTGTAATCCTAGCACTTTCAGATGTACAATTAGGGGAGAGAGCAATTTCTCCACTCTCGGCACTACCATGTGCAGCAAAGATGATCAAGCTAACTGTATTTAGTGCTTGAAATACCGCATGTTTTGTTGCGTTCTCTCCAAGCAAAGGCCCAGCAGTTGTCCACCCATTTTTACTTCTTCTCTAGCAAAAAGCAGCTCTGTGATATTCTTACGGCTTCCCATGTACATCACCAAGCCAACCTCAGGGTCACCCACCATCAGTGCACTGGTTTGACTATGATAGTCCACAGGACTGTCCTAAATGAGCTTGAAACTAAACTTCTCTGAAAGATACTTCTTGCTGGGTGCGTCACGTAAAGCTGCAAATGCAACTCGATACTTGGACTTATCAGGAACAAGGATGATTTCATTAAGTCTGCCAGGGCTCTTGCTCGCTTAAGTTCTATGATCCACAGAGCATTGTGGAATTTTCCGATTTGGTGAAGTATCCCATTACAGACTTTTAGAAGACAATGACTCTTATCTTGAAATGCTATTTTAACTTGATCGTTGCAATCACTGAAATTTCGGAAATTTTCAAATAGTTGAAGACACTCTAAAAGGTGGGGATGTATTTTCTGATTCCTTGAGTTTTTTACGATACTTCAAAAATACTAGAATTGAAAGGCTTTTTAACTCAATCATAACGTATCCAGTGCTGCTGCTTAATAAGCGTGTCATCTCCAAGTACTGTTCGGCCTGCTTAGTATATTATATTCTTTAAGACCCACAAACACCACTTCTAAGTCAGAATAAACTTCTGCTTCTCCTATTTTATCGCCAATATCCAAAATTATACCGAGCGCTTTCTCCAAACATTCCATGACCTTTTTATATTCTCCTCGATGATGAGAGATAATCACTTCAATTTTGTAAACTTACAATTTATGTAGCACTCATTGCGAGCGTCTAAGCACCCAACAATATGAAAGAGAAAGTGTGATTGCTGGGTCGGTCGTTTTCGACTAAGTTTCTTAATATTATTTTCCAGACAGTTCCCTACTCAAGTTCTTTAGACCATCAGCTAACTTCCAAATATCCAAAATTTCTGTTTGCACGACATTATTGCCTGGTGAAATGCATACGATACTGAGCAAATAGAGAAGCCTTAGCTGTGCTCTGTTCTGTTGTAAAGCAACAACAGAACAGAACACAATCAAGGCTTCTCTATTTGTTTCATGATAAAGAATCCGTTAAATTCCCCAAGCACTAATTTTCAATTTTCAAGACAAACTTGTCAAACCATCAAAGTTCACAAACCATCACAATTCACAATCTGCAATAGTTTAGAAACTGAAATAGTTCGGCAGGTGGAATTTAACACTCTTGCCTTAATTTTTTTAGTCTTTAACGCAAAATCTGAAAAGTGAAATGTTCAGTGACATTCGGCCGAATTGTGGCTCATAAAAACACGCAAGTTTTTCATACGAAAAGTAGAAAACAAACTGCATGCTCTGTTTGATTTTTATTACCGTATGTAAGCTTGCAAGCTAACTGAGCGTGTAAACCTTCAAAACTCGGACTGTTAATTTCGTTTTCTCTCTGAGGATTTTGGTCTCTGCGCACGTTGTAATAACGTAAATTACGGCGCTTGGTATGTTTACAAACCTTTGTTTGGTTCTTCTTTTGTTACTTGCCAGCTCGCTTCTTCCGAAATTTCACTTTCAATAAGCGAAAAAAAGGTAGAGAGAAGTTCCGGTAAAGGTCACAGAACAATTTGGCCGATGGAGTGACAGCTTGAGCTTAGCTCTAGCTATGCTTTGTAGTCTGATAGAGCGCGCTCTTTTAACCGGGTGCTCGCTCTTATTCCCCACTTTTACCGACACTGAGGTGAAAATTTTTTTCGGTATGTACTACACACAAACAACAAAAAAGGAGTATATATCAAAAAATGGTCGTGAATTAAATTGTTCACGCGCAATTTGTCTCCTCGGCTGCTTGGAGGTGACTAGTACTCGCTAATCACTTTCGGGCCAGCCAATCAGCGTGCTTAAAGCACTCTTCACCCGTCAGGTATATACTAACCAAAATTACAACTCAATCGCTCCCGTAAACATACGTACCTTTTTTAAACATACGCTGCAATTGGTTTCTCTTTTTGAATCTAGGCTTTTTCGCACGGTTCTCTCGGTAAGAGTCTGGTCCGAACTCCCAACTTTTAGAACCCTCAATCGACCCTCTTCAACTCCTCTGAAGATCTAATCAAGCAGTACATTTTATATACCCACTGGAAAATGAAAATGCACGAAGATAACTATTTGGGGATACTTGCAGAGTGATCTCATACTGAGTGATCAGTCATAAAACATATGAGAACAGAAGTTGGTAAATATAAGAATTCATTTCGTTCTGAGATGATAATAAATATGATGTTGCCCAGGACAAAGTATGACATGATTGTTTGAAAAATAATTACGATATAATATAAGTCATCTGTAAAGTTAAATTGTCATATAATTTAAAATTTCGATTTTGGCTGTTCCGCAAGATATGAAATGTCGAACTTCCGGTTTGTGCATCGCGCATTTAATCGCAGGTAACACGAATTTCCTCATATCTTTAATTTTCGTCTCAACAGTGCGCTCGTCCTAAACGCTACGTTATTGCTAATTCATAAAAGCATACACGTGAGAGGGTTTACGTATTGCAGGCACAATATTTTTTAAACTGGTAGAAAGTGCGTCAAGATATTTTAAATTAGGTATTATTACCATATTATTATCATTCCACTATCACACTATTTTACCATATAAGGACAAAGGAAGGCACAAAATATTCGACGGTATCAAACTGCAAAAACAGGGCAAAAATACGGATAGAAAGCGAAGCAAGGATATCGCCGCACTAAAAGATCCAAACTTTGATATTTTCTGTTTTCCAGGCTTGACTTGAGTTTCTACCCCTGATGATGGTTGTGTTTTCGAACTCATCCGTTGGACGAAAAATGGCAGAGGCGTTTCCAAAAGTGTCAGTGTTTGAATACACCCTTTTTTCACTTCTCAGCTGTCACGCTTAAAGTTATGTAAATGTCCGCTTGTACTGTGTATTGAACGTTCAAAGAAGGTGATTATTATGCCACAGTAATTTCATTTCCCAGGCCGATCTTGGCTTATAATGCTCGTAGTTTTTGGTACTGGCCCATATTTTGACGAAAATTAACGAAATGCGAAAATTCTCTGTTACACGTGATTAAATGTGACATAAAAACCGGAACTTATTTCTTCATATGATAAGAAAATATTAAAAACATATATCGCTCTAACTTAAGATGACAGGGGCTGATGAAATAAAATTTTATTTCAATGCACAGTGAATTTATATATTCTATGCTTTTAAGATAAATTACAGCGAGACGATAGCTATCGATAGAGGTGTAATCAGCTTCCCACATTCTAAACCCCTTAGAATTATGCAGCAGTTTTATTTTGTACGCTAGCTGGCTACTACTGCTTCAGATCATACTCAGGCTATATCTTCTACAAATATACATATATATGTCTGTGTGTGTGTCAATCATTTAAGGAGAAAAGCTGTTATTATATAGAGGTTCTGAAATTATCATCATTAAATTGTAATTGCACCTATACTTTAGGAAGTCAACTAAGATTAAGAATGGGATGACAAAAATGATTGAAAAGGAAAATGGAAAAGACGGACAAATTGTTGTAGTTTCAATTTTAGATAGAGGGCCACAAATTTACTAATCTCTGTAACTATTCCGTGCTACCCTCTTGAAATAAAGTGTATTATTACAAAGAGTAATTATGCGTGAAAACTAGTTTACTTCGCAGAACAACAGCTGCGTGAAATTCGTTTTCCAATCACCTTCTTTTTCAAAATAATAATAATAAAAAAAGGTTTTTTTTTTTTGTTTGTAGGACTGTATGTTCATGAAGAAACACGCAAGTACAGTGCTTCTGGACCCCTAACAATTGATGGTCTCGTTTATATGGGCAGTAGAAAAAGTCAAAATATTCATCTCGTCGACAACATTGAGGGCCACTGCGATAACATCCACAAAGGCAAGGTACGCGTTGGGTTCTGGGTCGGTAATTGCCCAGGATATGGAAGCGTGGATGCCTACACAGGCTGGAATTCAGTTTCCCAGATCTTTATCGAGGAAGTTCCTAAGCCACAATCTTAGAGCGAAACACCCATCATTTAGAGGCTGAAAAACGGGGGAGCAAAAGTTTCTGTAGTTGTGTAACGATTAGTTTCTCTATGGGTTTGTTTTGTAATGGTATTTAAGTACGCTGATGAAATAAAGGGCAAAAGAAAAAACAAAGGGCTTTCGCTTGTTTGCTTTTTCCTGGCTTTTTCTTCGTGTTCTTGGCGCATTTCCTTGAAGTTGAAGAGGGTAAACAAAACGGCTGAAAAATTTAAGTTTTCAGTGTAGTCCTGGAAGAACGAACTGAAAAAGCAAATTAGCCAAAATTAATGAACGAATGTCATCTCTTTTCTCGACAGTGTGAAAGGATTCTTAATTTATTCAAAATACCAGGCAAAAGCCGCGTCTTTTTGTCTTTTGAAATTAGCGATTTCAGGATTGACTTTACTTTTAAGAAAATTTCGTTGTACTTTTGCAGAAATTCAAATAAACGTACTACCTGTTTTACCCTGCAGATCGGAACTCTACCGAGATAAATAATCCAGTTAGTGTGTTTACATTCACGTTCAGAGTAGAGACAAATGAAACCACTTATGTATGGTAGAAAAACCAATTTGAAATGGTGTTATGAGGTGAGATAGAGAAATAAACATTTCACACCTTTTTGGCGATTTTTATATAAAGCTGAGGCCTTAGGCTGCGAACAAGCAGCCGTTGTAACCATGACAACAACAATGCTGCAACCTTTAAAAGGGAATTTCTGTCCATCATCCCTAAGTGGCTAACTGCATGCAAAATTTTTAGGGGAGTTGAAAATTTAATTTCCCAAGTTGTTTGATTTTTACAGATAACTTGGTTTATCAACTGAGTTGATACAAGATATTATAATATCTGGGTTGATAATGTAAACTGGCCACCTTAAAGAGTTTCGAGCGTTAGTCCGTCGTCATTCGCTCTGACGAAGGGCTAACGCGCGAAACGTCAGCTTACGAAACTCTTTACAGTGGCCAATTTACATTATCAACTTAGTCGATAGATAGAGAATAACACATGGGCGCGCGTTAACATGAAATTTCTTTTCTAGTGTTTAACTCGATAGCTCACGAGTGAGCGCCGCGAACGAATGAGATGTCGAGTCGAACACGAGAAGAAAAATTCCATATCTATAAGCAACCATGAATTACTTTGTTTGTTTTATAAACACAATAGCCCTTCACTAACAAGAAATGTCGACTTTATTAACGAATGAAAATAAAAGGATCGACAATCCCTGAATAAAAATCGTAAAGTGCGTCGGCGCTATGGCTCAAGGTGAAAAAATGTGTTGAATCATTGCAAAAACAACAACGGGTGTAATTTTCGATATACAAAATTATCAGTGACTGACTTTGTCCTTACCGACGGAAAAAATTTTCTAGATTCACTGCCAAAATCGACAGGTGGCAAATCTTCCGGTTGTCGATTTTCGTTCTTCTCGTTTTCTTTCCCCTCCAGTAAAGTTTGAACAGCACTGCCTGGCAGCGATACGGATTTTTTAGTGTCTTAGCAGCCATAATCCGGAAAAATTTCGACAAACAACCATGGATTGAGAATGGTGAAGGCTTATATAGGGTGAAGGTATTATACTCTGTAGACATCTAAAGAAGGATGGAAAATGTGCCCACCTTGAAAATTTATGAGAACGGTAATCATATTAAACAGCCGTTATCTTCAGATTTAATGAACACATTTTTTTCTCAAGCTGCCCACCCCCCTTCCTCATTCGTTAAGTCGATTTTCTTTTGGAATATTACTCAAATTACTTCGCTTTCGACGAGAAATTGGACCTTGTCAAATATCTGTCGGAGAGAAAACGGTAATGAACTCAAACATCATCTTATTATCTCTAATGATTTTTAATATCTACTCAATAGTAGCTCTAATTTACATTCGATTCTCCCTGTCCGCTATCAATATTATTTTTATTCGAGCCGTTTTCGGGCTTTTTAACTGAATACTAGTGTTCTGCACTGAATTTTGGTTTTTGATGCAGATGCACGGCTTAGAGAGCTACTTTTGCGTACACAGAATAATCAGGTTCGCTCCGAAGAAAATGTATCAATAAAGGTAAATAGGCAACTTCTTTCATGGCAGATTTAAAATAATAAAATTGACAGTACAGTTTTTCTTCATAGTGTTGCAAAGCATGAATAACTGAAATTTTCAAGTAACCTAGACTTATTTCGAGGACAGGTCGATTGAGTTTCCTAATACCAGCACGAACGTAATCACAACAGTCAATTAGACAAATGGAAAAAACACAAGAATCCTATTAGTACATAAATAAAAAACCGCAAACTGCCTAAAGCAAGCGACCATGTCGCGATTGTTTTCTTGTTTTCCGTCAGTTTGAGAGTGGGGCTTACATATGCAAACGCATAGTACTTCGAGATCACTATCCTCACTCAACTAAAATTGCTCAATACATCTTAAAAACTATATAATTTACCATTCTTTTACAATTGTTTCCATGGTCGCGAGCTTCAAGCACGCACTGTAGATTTTGTTTACAAGATATATATGATCATACAATGATCATCAAGAGCTGAATGAGAGGATGAAAACGTTAATTGTGTGTAATATTCATCGCATTGGCCGATTTGAAAAACTTACATCAACCGACATAAAAAAAAATCCTCTTGCATTAGACAAAAACACGGAGGAAATAAAATCTTCTCCAGCGAGTAACATCTGTTCAAACAGCCTTAGATTGTGTGGGCTCAATAAATAACATTTTTACCAAAACTTGTTTCGTTGAGAATAATGTTGCTCAAATGCTAAACTGCAGAGTATAATGAGAAAAAATAAGATGGCAATTTTTATCACATCTTTCTCTGTCGTCGACTTAATTTATCGTAATCAATGTTTTCATCGATGTTAATTTCTCAAGAGATGTTCAAAGATTTGGAGAAATCGTTGTGAATTAGAAAGGTGGGTTGTCTATGTTATGAGGAAGACTGTCTCGCAACAACGAGTTTTGAATAATCCAAACCCAACTTTACAAAATTTTTCCACATGAACTTTCTTTGACTAACTCCTGTTAAAACTAGCACTTCTAGGCATTTCTAAATTTTTCGAACTGTTCCTCTTCGGCCTTGTATTACTTAATTACAGAGGCGCACTCTGAAATAAATTTTTTCCTCGAACAATACGAGATTTGTCGTGGTCCAGACATCCATTATATGTGATAAACAAGAAGTTTATTGACATGCATAGAAATTGGAAATGTGCTCTTTCGTTTCAATTTAGTTTACCAGGAATAAGTAAGACTGATTTTGATCGCAACTATGGAAGACATTTCTTTACTTTGTTGGGTTAGGTAAGAATATTAGATTCGAGCTTAATTAATCTAGATTTGGAAGAGAAAATTTATTGGTAAGGTTTTGTTATCAAGTTCACGACACGTAAGCGTTTACTATGGGTTTAGTAGTAAACTTCATTTCATTGGACAGATTGGGAACAACTAAGCTGGTCTGACCAATAATTTTCTTGTAAGAATGGTTCTTGTCATCTAAAATTATTCTTGAACCAATGTTCTGCTGACTTGTTTTATCGAGAATCATTCCACATGAGGCAGCGAACAGTGTCGAGGAGACAAGACAAGAGACTTCTCTTACATTGTAAGCCACTACTCTTGCCGATTTTGATTTTCTATTAGCTTGATATAATTGAAATACAAAATTTCTTCTGTTTTTTTCTATTCAGTTAACTTCACAGTCCTGAAGATTTTGGTGGCAAACACGAAGGTAAATCAAAATTTATTTCAATACCTGGCTCTAGCTCTGCCTTAAAGTGCGAGCCACAAAGCTACGATAAGAACCATTGTAGTTTATAACGTCTGCAACCATCTTTTCCTGCTTAAGTTCCTTATTATGCTCAGAAATTATTCTGATACATCTTGATCAAAAGCCATCCCCTCCAAACAAGCATTGGCGGACAGATTCAGCGCTGAAACAAAAGTAGTCAATCAAAAATGTTTCCTCTCTGGCCTCCCAAAATTCAGTTTAGTAATCAATGGTATTGATAAACTCCACCGCTTCAAAAGCACCTAGTAAAACTGCTTAAAATTGTAGCCAAAGGATTATCTTTTGAATAAGTGTTAGAAATATATGGCTGCTAAGTAGACATCTCAAACTTACGGGAGTAAAACACAGGGTTTAAGCCAAAATTTTAACCGTTAGCCGTAAAAGCAATAACCCCATTGAGACTCTCAAATAAAACCGAATATGAGAGCATTGAAAAGTTTAAGCGTAAAATTAAAATTGTTGATAGAAGCTTAAAAGTTGAAAAAGCGTTTTAGATAACAGGAAAAGCAGGAACTGCGGTTTTTTCCTTCAATTTCACTGGATGTTTAAATCATTTATAACTAGGGAGGAACAAAGTTGTGACACCGGTTCGAGGAAAATGCCGATCCAAATTTTCAAACTTCTTCATTTAAAAAAGAAATCGTAGTTATTACAATACTTTTGAAACCTCCATGCGCTGAAGAAAGTTACAAATAATCGAGAAATGCAGGAGCCTCATGCAAAATTCTTATGTCTTTTGCCATATTTGAACTATCTTGTCTCTGAATGAAGTTCTGCTGCCATTCCTGCGTCGAATTTGGATCATGCGAAAAAAATTTAAATTTAATACTTCACTGCTGATATCAACAGCTACGAGCCTTTATGAGCCGATAAGATCTTTTTATATCTGTATTTTTTAATATGTCGTCCGTGTTTCTTTCCCGCAGACGTTTCCTTGATCTTACTAAGAATTTTATGTTTGCTTATTTCTAAACAGATCACCGATACAAAATGGTGGTAAAAACTGCAACCTTCTGGATTTCTTTTTTCGCGGTGTCATATTTGGTTTTCTGTCGCGCAGCGAATAACAGGTCTAATAAACCATCAAACAGCAAAGTGGTAAGTTTTAAAATTCTTTTGATATCTCTTAAATAAGTTTTGAAATAAGGATTCCTTTCTCCACGAAAAAGAGCTAACCAGTACTTGTCTGTGATGAAAAATATTAGAAATTTTGGATCCATGTCACTTAAATATGTTCATGAGAGCTTTTTCATTAGAATTTACAGGAAGATGTTAGCATAACAATTACCTTGAACACAAAATTTGGGAAGCCTTAAAACTATTGTGAAAAATGAAGGAAAAATCTATTGATGTCTCCGAGTTCTATCTTTTTAAAAAATATCTCACATTCATACCAGCAACCTCCACCATATTTTTATGCTGGGATGCCTGGTATGCACGGAAAGCCTGGGCTCCCTGGTGCACCTGGTCGTGACGGCCGTGATGGACGCGAAGGAGTTAAAGGCGACCGAGGCAGCCCAGGGAAGACTGGACCTCAAGGACCTCCAGGCCTCAAGGGAACTCCGGGTGTTAAAGGAGAACCTGGAGTACAGGGTCCTCCAGGCCAAAAGGGGCAGCGGGGAGAAAGTGGGAAAAATGGAATCCCGGGGACTCCTGGTGTGATGTCTTTTAAGAACTGGAAGGAGTGCGCGTGGAACAACTTGAATGAAAATAAAGACCACGGCCTGATTAAGGTGAATAGCTATGATATTGAGACGAAAAATAGTTTAACATACAACTGCTGTTAGTTTCTTCGTTTGCAAACAACATTAATTTCTCACAAACAACGAAGTCACGCTTACTAAGTCCCTTCTGAAGTTACGCTTAGGGTTCCATGTCATTGTCAGCATATCTTCGGTTCCTAGTAATTCTTTTCTTCATTTCTCGTCACTCTTTTTCACAGGAGTGTGTGTTTACCAAGAACTTTTCCGACACATCTCTCCATGTTTCCTGGACTGGAGATTTTCGAGTCTATCGCTGCACCACCTGCTGCAAACGCTGGTATTTCACTTTCAACGGTGCTGAATGTTCAGGTCCCCTACCAATTGACGGTATTTTGTACCTGGGTAGTGTTAAGTCTCTAAATCCTCATCGTGTCAGCCATATTGAGGGTCACTGTAACAACATCCACAAAGGCAAGGTACGCGTTGGATTCTGGGTCGGTAATTGTCAGTCATACAGCCGAAGTAATTACAATACCTACACTGGCTGGCAATCAGTGTCGCGGATCTATGTTGAGGAAATCCCGAAACCACAAGCTTAGATTTCTAAACTTAACATCCATTCCTGCATAAACGCTTTTAAGGTGCTTTTAAACATGGGTTTGCCTCGTAACAATTGCTGATTTCTTGATGAATAAAAAGCGGGAAGAAAATGGAGAGTATTTTGTCTGTCTGTGTCTCTACTTACTTTACTGATACTGAATAGCTCGTCAGATGGTGTCCTCTTTGTTAACTCAACATATTTTCTAGACTTTGAACTTGTCTTGTTGCACCAACCTTGAGTTCTCTAGTTCCCTATGATATTTCTGTTAGTCTTGATGGACCCTTCTGATTTTTTTGAGTTTGGTTTCTTCAAGCCCGTGTTTTAATTACGCTTAAGATATCTAAAAAACACCATTTGACAGATCGATATCTAGAATGAGATATCGATTTTGGGAAGGCGCTCATCAAAAGGGTTAACTTTGACAAAATATAATTTTAACTGTTTGGTTAAACCTACCGTCCTCACTATGGCAGGTCGTAAAGTGACGTCATTGCGTTGCTCTTTGTATCTTTTGACGGTACAATGATACCCTTATTGCGCACATGCGTACGCGGATGCAGTCAAGAGTTTCTACCTCTGGAGATAATTGTGCTTTCAAACTCATCCGTTTGGCGAAAAGTGGTTTAGGCGTTTTCCAACAGCATTTCCAAGTTCGCTTCTTTCTGCCTATGCTTTTAATGTGTAGACTGGACACGGCCGCGGAAGAGGCTTGGGTCCAGGGTCAATTTTCTCTCTACCAGGCGTGATATGGTCAATTTTGCGTTCCTGCATCACAAGGTAAGTAAGGTGCATAAATTGACCATACCACCCCTGGTCGAGAGAAATTAACTTTAGACCCAAGTCTCTTCCGCGGCTGTGTCCTGTCTGCACATCAAAAGCATAGGCAGAATGAAGCGAACTTGGAAATGCTGGTGAGTAACGCTCGTTGTCAGGGTAATGCGCGGGGAGTTTTGGAATTGAGAAATTTTTCAGGGCACAATGATCTTAGATCATAAACCTTGGGTGAAAACATTGCCGATCTTTGCCCTGTTATACAGAGTGATACCTATTTCTTAATAAGGTAAAATAATGTAATGGCGGAATAATAAAAATAATTAAATGTCTAGAAGCACTTTGGACCAGTTTAAAAAATAGCGTCTGGAAAACATAAACTCTCTCTTATTTATTCTGTTTATGAATTAGCAGAAACGTAGCATTTGGAACGAGCTCGTATTTAGACCAAAAGAGAGGAGGAAATTCGTCTTACCTGTGATTAAATGTGTGGTGGAAAAAACGGAAGTTTGACGTCTAATATCATGCAAACAAGTCAAAACTGAATGTTTTGAGAATATGTATACGGCTTTACTTCACTTCTGTTATATCGATAGTTAATTCGTTTCGATAACTCGTAACAACTCTACATCAATTTATTCTTTATCATTTTTTTTTGGAACAGAAGAGCCGTGACTGGACTAGAATGAGAAATACTGCGGCAGAAGTTTGATAAAGGCACTGCATTGGACTTCAATAGGAGAAAACTCTCAGCTTTATAGAGTATTGAAATTTTTTACCCACGAAAAGAACCGGTTACGTAGATTTCGATGTTGGTTTTAGCCAATATTTTAGTCACCAAGTTATTTGGGTACTCTCAGTTTACAAAACTTTTTTATCTTTTATTTGGGTTCTAGAATGCAGTAGTAGAGAAACCCTATTGGAATTTCTCTTTTGGCAGTTTCTACGTAAGGTGAATTCAGTAAGAATTTTGGTCATGTTGTGTATTGTTTACTAAAGACTGTTTTGAACGAAAAACTGAATAGCTCAGTTTTAGACTCGTCAAGACTTTAAAAGTGTAATTTTTTAGAGGTTTTTGAGAAGAGAATAACTCATATTCTTCTCTCAGAGGGATCCTCTTTGATTCAATTAGTTTGGCCAACTTCTACATGAAATAGGTAACATTCTCTAGAAATCAGGTTTAAGACAAACCGCGCCTTAAGTATCGACTGAATGTGACTGTTTTGGAGCTACGACGTAACCAGTGACTAGTTATTCCATGATTTATTTTGTTATTTTTTTATGGGAATACTGATCCAGTGAGTCATTTTCCTCAATCGTTATCTGTCACATGTTTAGATTTACCGTAACATTTTTTCTTGCATTAAATATTTTCATTTGCCTAAGCATGGTAGCCCTGACGCCTCGTGTTATTTTCCCTGCACTCTTTATGTATCATCAAACACTAATTGCGGACTGTTCAGACTTTCGTTGTTTCCAGATTAAGCCTTGCATGGGCGAGAGCCTGAAGAAAAAGACCAAAACAAATATCCGTGAAGGCAGTTTGAAAAACAATTTTGGTACATACACAGAGCTCAAGATGGCACTTTTGGAGAACCTTACGGTGTTCTAAAAATACTGCAAAACCCGCAAAATATCCGTCCGTATCGTTTAGCCACCAATTCAGGTGTATGAAATAAATTGAAAAGAGAATTTCTACCATGAATTTAACAATTGACTGTGCTTTGTTCTGTTGTGAAGCAAGCAGGAAGTGGCTGAAGCCAGAAAGAAGTGTAGGGAGAAACACGAGACGTAGTTAAGTGTTTCTTTCTACTTCTTGCTCACGATGACGCATTAATGTAAAGGAAATAGGGGCTTATTAAGGCCATAACTTGTGTGCCCTCTCGGCAGACAGGCGAAAAGAAATTGGATTTTTTAATGCGTCATTTCGCTGCATAATACAGTCGTAAGAGAAGCACTAAAGGGATGGCCATAGCGACATGTTGCTTTTTGTTACACAAAACTCAGTGCGGTAACAACCAATTTAATTTTTTTAGCAATCATTCATTTCGTATCTAAGCTTTTTAAGACAGAGTAATGTAAACTCAACTAATACCGGAAATTTTTGGTAACACTTACTAAACACAAGTTTAAAGACAATTGACACAGTAGAGGAAAAGCACAAAGTTACTATGTGTGATGAATAGCGAACGCAGTAAAGTATTGCGCAGTATAAACTATGCAATAATAGCTATAGATAACAGGATGCCTTGAAAACATATTTTAGTAAGGTAGCGTTACTGATATTACGCGAGGGTTTTTTCTTGAATTATACAATTGAACGATGTTTGGTACATAAATCAAGCGTAGCAGGCCTCATTGGTGCTGAACTAGTGCCAATATAAAATGCAGAAACGTGGGTCTAAGAAGAGAAGATGATAATTGGTTTAAGCTATTATTGTCTAAGTCCTTCTTATCAGTCCCCTATCAGGAACGACACTTTGAAAGCAGATTGTCAGCTCGGTTTGACTATCCATTCTACGGCTCTTTCAAACCCATTTAACATGGTCACCTGGCGACAGTTTAACAGCCACTTAGCAGGAAATACGCGATTTTGGAAACGGAGGAAGTTGCGGACTATTAACCCGTTATAATCAGCCACTGAGGACCACGTTAGCTTGCGATTACTCTGGAAAGGGACCTCAGAAGCCACTAAAGCAGCTCGGAGGAAGGTGATGAACTCTACACTGTGGTCTTGGTACTCGACGAAAGCCTGTCTCGCGTCGGAATAGGCGATGGCATGACTTTTGGTGTCTTCAAGGACTTTCTTGCGAAAGTTGTCTCCTCGTGTCAAGTCGCATGCAAATTTGGCAGCCTTGAATTGCCAATCTGTAAACTGGACCCAGTTCTGAAATTCGGTGATGATGACTGATAAAGGGTTATTGAGATTCATGTGAGGTAACAACGTGTCCAGAAGTGTCCCCAGTGGTACAAAGTCAGCGATGTTTGAGGTTGTCACTCGATCATACTTCCGGTCTGGTGGAAGGAATGGAGTTATCTCCATACAGTTGCACAACAGGAAGTGAAATTTCACTTGCCTTGTCGCCAACCTCACAGAGCATTTCTTGAGCACTTGACCAACATACTCACTGTACATTTTCAGAATTGATGGTGCTCTGCTCACACGGCAGACATCGTTGTAATCCCATGATAAGAAGGGAGTGATAGAAGACTGAATGATGTAAGAAAATGGACCTCTATTACGACTGATCTGATAGTCAGAGCCTGTCAAAGTGAAATTTTCAAAAAAAAGTGCGCCTCTTGATTCCTTGGACGACAGGATCCCGTTGGCAAACCAATCTGATGCAGACTTTTTATGCTCTTTCGGGATTTCGGCCAAGTACAGTTTCATACCTTCCTTCGCTTGGGGGTTGTCAAAGCGCCTACGTCGAGCTTCTGATATCCACTTTTCCTTCCGTGAGCTAAGGTCTAGCCAAGTGCGCCACACGTGTGTGACCTCTTTAAGTTGGTTTTGCTCCATCCTCATGGTGTCTCCTGTCAGCTCTTCAAGGCTGGACGTTTGGATCAGCTCTTCCAGAGCATTGATGACCAGCTTATAGTCATCTTCGCTGAGACGCAGTGAATACCAAATCTGCGTCACGGAACTTGCAGCTTCTTCTCCGCCTATAGAAGAAAAAAACAACAACAACAAAATGAAATATTAACCTTTGCTTTCTACACTTATTCAGATCCCTATTGTCTGTAGTGGTCCAAATTGTGAGGGAATTTTGGAACTGAGTTCTGAATCTTCATTGCACCGGAAGATGCCAGCATTACTTGAATAAAAAATCTAATCATTTAGTAGACATTGTATTATTGTTTTTTAAATGGACACCCTTTGACAACATATGTTGCTCGATCAGCGCTGTAAAATAAAGAAATGAATCGTAGCATGAGGCCCGTCTGGAAATTGGTTGATGAAAGCGTCAGTCTTGGTCATGGTAACTAGGTTGTTAACATTCCACAAGCATACAAAAGATCCAGCCCTACATCTTTCTGGTTCCAAAATTCTCCCTCCAGCATCAGGGCCTGTTTACATGGAGGTGGGGGACCCCAGGTAGGTGAGGTAACCCGCTAAGGCGGGGTAACTTCGATTTCCTTGATTAACTGCTTTGTGACTCTAATTGATGTAATCGTATACCTTACCTTTGAATATCATATAGAGTAAAAGTATCGTTCTGACCAGTGTACAGGCGCAGATGTCATTCAAGACAAAGGTCAGCTCTTCTTGATAAACTTCTGGAAGCTTCGAGACGGACAATACGATATTGCGTGGGTCACCAACGCCACATGCAAGGACTGAGATAGGCTTTGAATACTCAGAACCTTCGTTCAGTGGGAATTTTATAAGATCTTGTGCAGGAATGTTACCCCAGTAGTAAACTGTTGCAGTGCCAGGCGTAAATTCTACAAGGTCGTGGAGTTTCTTGATGTTTAAAGACATTTCTCTTGTATTTCTCGTCATTTTTTGACAGGATGCTTTGTGTGCGGGCCAGGATTTCTTTAGGCAAGCCTGATTGCAATACCAAGCTTGCAGGCAGCTACCACACTGTTTCAATCGGCTGGTTTCCTTGCTGCATCCGGAACATGTCCTCTTTAAGGTGGCGGTTTGGCAGTCCACTTGATGTCGAAACAGATCCCTATTCTTGCAAGTTTCGCTGCAGTAATAAGCTACTTTGCATCTACTGCAGCACACTTTCGGAGTAGGTGACTTACAAGAAACATCACATCGCCAACATTGATCATTCTTCAGCATTTTCGCCAAATTATCTCCCTGGATGTGCGAAACCAAAACGATTTCACACTAGCGGGAGGCTAATTGGAATTGCTGCGCATGCGTAACATAACATTTTTCTTTCCACGAAAGGAAGCCGGTTTCCGAGAATCGGTCGCTACAAACGTCTGCATTCTTTACAAGCCACAAAATGATAAAAAATGTTGTTTTGGCTATCATCAGTTTTTCAATAGGAAACGAACCAGAACAACGACATAAACATTCACACCCCTCTGTTCCGTGGCCACAAATATCTCTTACAACTTTTCAGGCTACTTCCTCTCTTTTTACATATGTGGTCGAAGAGCCATACACCAAAATATCTTACACAACGACAATAAGAGCATAGACTCACATTGCCACCTGTACTTGTTAGTCAAGTTGACGGGAATTGTTTCCACTTCATATCATCATATCATAATCTGTCTTCGAAAACGCCTCTGTTCTCAGTAGCGGCGTCGAAAATAGATGAGTAAGAAAGGTACAAAATGTAGTAGGTCAGTTTGAAGTTCATTTTCACTCTAGATTTGAGCGAGAAATTATTATATGTTGTTGATTGAAATTTGTTTAAAATGAACACACGGCGCTTGCCTAGCTGCGAGCCTTCATGAGGGGCAAGGAAACCAGAGAATTCAATTTCAGTGCAAGAATCGAAAAATAAATGTTGTTTTGAATTGAAGCCTAGTAAGGTTACTACGGAAACGCGATGACACAGTTCTCGAGAGGTAGGGAGGGGAGGGGAGGGAAAGTAGACCTTGGCCTTTTAGACGGCGGTGGTTAATTACCTGCATGGACATGTTTAATTTCCCTAATTAAGTCTGACGCGAATGAAATAAATTAAATGACAAACGGATAGCAAGTCAGTCAAGTCTCTTCAGCGACGAAACTCGTATCATTTGAGATCAATTTGCGAGAGACTTCCGCGTTTCAAGAAACTAAGACAAGGAGCAACAATCGATTATGACCTCTGCTTTTAAACTGAAACAAGGAGTCGCCATAGGAACAGCCTAGTATTAGCACCAACTGAACACCTCTTTAGTTGGATTACAGGATTAGCAAGCGATAATCATGATAATGATATTGCCTACGGGAGTTCGTTTCCTTCTCTCGCTTCTATTTTCCTTTGTTTCTTGAGTTAATACGCCTTGATTGATTCGCATATCATTATATTCTTTGTCAGAAACATAGTGTCGGTTTCTTGTTATGAACAATTTAATATCACGGAAACATGAAAAAAAACCTCGATCGAAAGGAAATAGAACATTAAATCGGAATTAAAACTCTAACACCATGAAAATTAAAAGACAAACGAACCAAATTAGGAGAAAAGAGGCTTGGCTTTCTTTGTTAGAAGCCATTTGAAGTTCTTAGTGTGTAAACATTGTGGCATTGAAATCCAGACAATTGACTTTGAATTCAAATCGCAGTAGGCCATTACCGCGCACTCTAAAAATAATATCATTAATCATGAACTGTCTGACAAAATTGCTTTGCCGTGATTCCTTGAGTTAAAATCTTTTACTTTTCGATAAGAAATTTTTTCATAGAATAATTTTATCAAAGGTTGCGAAAATGTGGGTTTTTTTGTATCGTTTGTTTAAATTGCGAACATGAAATTCCAATTAGTGGTTGTTGCCGGATAATTAGTAAGGCGCGCTCGGGGTTCGTTGCCTAGCAACACAAATTTATAAAGAAAGAAAAATCACATTCACACATTCAAATGAATTTTAAACGAGGTTGCGGAAAATGGACAGCAAATTCAATAACGTATTCCGCGGTGGGAAAGCAGGGTGAACAAGTCAATAATTCCCAAACAATTTGATATGGAGACAGCTGACGATCCGAACGTAGAAGCGGGCAGTAAAGAAAGAGACTTGATCGAAAAGCTACTCGATTCTAGCGAGAGTAGTGCGGAGGAAGATTTTGACCGAGTCGTGTTCTCGAGCAGCTGGGATGAGGTCGCTTGTGGATGGAAACACACAGCGCCGAACGTTCGATATATTTCTTCTGCTGATCGAAAGAAGAAGACTAAAGATAAATATTGGCGAAGTAGCCCGGATTCGGAAAGCCATTACGCTAAAGTGAAGCGTCTCGCTGGAATGATCACAAATTCGAATTCGAACGTAAATAGCGTCACTGAAATAAACAAAGTGAAAGCTGGAGGAACGTGGCCGGGAAATAAGACGGTGAGGACAAATATGCGGAATTTTCAAAATGCTGATGTGCTATCTTACGATAATCCTTGTTGGAGATATATTATTGATCCACGAACGTTGGAATATGTCGAGAGAACTCCGCTCCAAGTGCTCAGAAACATGACCACCTCTCACAAGTATCCGAACCAAACACTCGTTCTTGAGAACGGTGGTATGATCACTTTTCAAGAGACCAGTAATGGAAGTATTTCTATCAGCGATCCGGCCCAGACGTTTGATCGTCGTCTCGTGGAAAACCTAGATCTAAAGGGAGAGTACTCTGTTGATAAGGGCAGGTTTCCTTTCAGTTTTGAGCCTTCCGTTCGTGTTCCGTTGATCACCCAGTACCGAACAGAAGACCATAAAATCAAAGTGATACACGCGGTTACTGCGCGAAAGGAAAAATCTGTGGTTTCATTCTGCGATTTATGCCAATTAGGAACTCAGGATATCGTCAAACCGTCTTGTAAACTAGAGATCAGTACGAACAGTTCAACGGAGCTTAAACCTTTACAGAAGATCACACCAATACAGCGGCAAACAGCTGATGACAGCCTCTTGGCCAGTAAAGTTTTGGGATCACATTCTAAAAGATCGGACAATTCTACTTGTTCAAAAGGGTCGAAAAAATCGAAGGAACAGAAAGTTGCGAGCCAAAAAAGAAAGTTTGGCCCAGGAGGGGAGGGTAAGTTGGACTGGCTACCAATCACTAGGAACACCGTCGGATACCCATATCCTTCAACAGCTGTGAGTCAGCCTCACGGTAAATTTCCTGAAAGACCATCAGGTGGTTTCACCAAGGCATTCTCTTTACCAAAGCGCAATAAGAAAGGAAAGAAACTGACTCTAAGTGAAGCTGCAAATTTAGTTCCAAGTGGGGGAAAGCTGGATGATGCACTGAAAAAACTGTCTCAAGAGTTAGACAGAAAGGTGGAAAAAGGCTTAAGCTTTTCTGAGCCTTTGTTGCCAAGTGTTTCTGGAACAAAACTGGAAGTGCCAGCTTTGGCCAGCATGTGTGACAACTGATGTCAGAGAATGCTATAAATCATACTCCATCAGGCATGCAAAATATTGGAACTTCCACAGTATCAGGGCAGACAGTCAAGTCTAACCTGTGATAAAAAAAAAACCCTCCCTACACAGCGCATTACACTAATGCCTTTAAGTCTATAAGTGTCATGAGTTGCTGGAAAAAGAAGTTGATCACTAAATACTACTGAAGCAGGAGTAGAGCTTATCATAATCATCTGTGTTTTTTCCTTGATTGTGGTTAACCATTTTTTATCTTCTATAAGTGAAATGTACAGGTTTCAAGTCAAGATGAATAATACAAAAGTCAGGACTGAATTTAAAATCTTGGTTGCGGATTTTTATATATCATCTCTGAAGTGTAGAGTGATGGCAATGATATAAAAAAGTATTTTTATTTGAAGAAAATTTAAAACAGTACAGTCATTATTAGCGTTAGGAATAATTGATAAGGAAATGAACAATGTAAATAGACAATTTTTTCTCAGTAATTTTCAGTTTTAAGGATAATCATACTCAACAACATCAGGAAATTTTTCAGTGTACACATTCAGCTCAATCACTTCATTTGTAATATAATGACAAATGCATAGTTCTCTATTTATTGAATAAAAACAACATCAACTTTAATCAGTAAATGTTTGAATTTATTGTTTCTTGATCAGCTCAGTAAAGTCTTTTTTTGTGGCAAAAATTGAAAGTAAATGGTGACAAATGTAGAAGGGGCAGGGTGAGGGGGGGGGGGAGAAGAAAGCAGAACTTTCAATCATACAATTCTTCATCAGGGAGTTGGAATGTCCCAGTAAGAGTACTTGCCTCCCAATGGCATTTCCAGAGTTTGATAACCAACTCCATTATAACATGGTTTGAGTGGTTGCTCCTCATCCTAGGGTGGGGATGTAGCTGCCCAATGGTTGGTACTGGACTCTGAATCAAGAGGTCTGGGTTTCAGGCCTGGCTGGGTTGTTGTGTTGTATTCCTGGGCAAATCACTTTACTTTAACAGTGCCCCTCTCAACTCAGGAGTCTAAATGTGTATTGGCAAATTGTTGAGGAAGTCTGATGGAATGTTGGGGGGAGGGGGGAGGGGGGAGGGAGGTAGCCTTGTGATGGTTGTAATAGACTGACATCCCATTCAGGGGGGAGAGTTAGTACTCCTAATCACTTCAAGCATTATAAACTGGGATAAGCTCCAGCTTGATGGGCCACTTGGCTGGAATTCAGACAAATTTCTCGTAACTAATTGTGTAGCAGCAAGAGTAGAAAATTAACAATCAGATATTGGGAGTTGAAAGATAAAATAATAATGCAACCCATAGAGTTACATCTATTTTATTTTGCAATGTTTATTGTATTTTTTAGGAATGCTACAAACCACTATGTCTGAGTTTCAACACTGGATGTAGGACAGTTGTGATCAACAACACTTGAACAGGTTTGTGTTTGACAACCTGTGGAGGTGACTGAACCACTGCCAAACTGTTCAAACGTTCGTGATGCGTGTGAGCAGCGTGAATCTGTCTGGACACTGGATGACAACAGACTTGAACAACCCAAGTCACTCTGCAGGGTTTGAGTTTGTGAATTTGCTAGAACAGTGTCATCAGCCAGCTCAGTAAAGTCAGACATTACTATGGATGTTTGAGTGTGTATGTCTACCAAGTCTTCAAGTGTTTTGTACACAAACTCTTGTCCACTGTTTTCAAGAGCTGGTGAAGTGACTGTGGAGTAGTCATTAAACCATGTTTGAGTCTGCGATTCTGTCAGCTCAATGTCTTGAGAGTCAAATAAATCATTGAGAAGGTTTTGAGTTTGTGTGCCAGAATCAATAGAGCTATTTGCATCAATACCCAGCAGGGAAATTAATGTCTGTGTTTCATTATCCTCTAAAGGAACTTGCTCCAAGCCACTAGTCTGAGTTTGTGAGCTAGTTAATGGTCGGAGGTCACAAAGACCAAAGTCTGAGCTTGTAATATTTGTCTGTGTTTGGATATTCAAACACAGTGGGTCAATGGTAAGAGTCTGCATTGAGTTTTCATTCGTGGAAACAAACCCTGGTCTTTGTTGCCCTGTAACAAAAGAACTAAAGGGAGGAAGAGGTTGAACCTGGGAATCTTGTGGAATTCTTTCTGCAAACCCAAACGGTTGACTACTTCTACTGCCACCCAAGCCTAATTGTGCCAAGAAACTCTCATCAGTGCCAACACCAAAGTCGCAGTGGTTTGTCAACATTGCAACTTGAGTCCCAACTGAAGATTGGTTGTTGAAACCAATACCAAGGTTCCCATCCACATTGTTGAACTGAAACTGTTGGCTTGCAATTGGTGGAGGAGTTTGTGTGTATGAATCACATCCCTGATCCATATTCACTGGGCGGCTGGGTGTTTGAGTACACATACTGTGCACATCATAAGGAGGCTGTGTTTGCACAGACTTGTTGACTGCTCTTTTCCTTGAAGAACTGCAAGAGCCTCTACCAGTTTCTAAGTTTGTGACTGGGCCAGGTTTGGGAAGGATTGGCTGAAGTTTTGCTGTCTGATTTCCAGGACCATGTTTCTTTCCAGAGTCGATTCTTACACATGGTATTGAGGTTGCAGGTTTAACAACAAGTACAGCAAATGCTGGTGCAGGCGCTGAAGATTTTGCACTAAAAATAGATATGAAAATGGAATAAAAGATGATCTGTCTCCAGTAAGGTCTTCTTACCTTATACCAACTGTCATAATAAAACAGAAAGTATTCTTCTCACATGTATCCAATTCTCAAGCTGAATTTATATTAAATATATTCTACTTAACAGCTGCTTAGTGCAACAGTATGTGTTTAGTGAGTACATGGGAAGCTGAGGGAGAACAAAAGATGCATTAAAGTTGCTTGTAGTGTGCCTGCATGCAACTCTGATTTTTTGAGTGCCTGCCAAATTTCCCTAATGCTTCATATCTTGATGAACCTCAAAGATCTAAGAGACATTCCTTGGAAATGAAGGACACTACTGACCTTGCTGCCTTAGTTTTGTATTCTTCCGGAACTTTGTGCATCTGACGCCGTGCATGGGTGAGAAGTGCTTCCATTGTGGTGTAAGGGCACCCACATGAACAAGTAAACAACTGCCCACACTTGACTTCATGCCGTTTACAAGCCTCAGGCAAACCAAAGCCCTTACCACATTTACTGCAAACATTTGTTTTCTCTGCATGTACTGTCATGTAATGCTGTTTGACAAATGAGAAAAGATAAAAGGGAACTCAGTATGCTCAAATGTTTTTCAAACTTTCTCTTTCACCAAGATCTTGTCAGTAATTCTCCTTACTGCCTTCCTTACAACTTTTTTATGATGTTAGTTTGGAGAATTTGGTATTAGATCAACTAATAATCCCCTGATTGATGTTTCTCTTACTCTCATCACTTGTCTGCTGGATATTGTATTGATGTTGTAGAGAATAATTCTGTCTTGTTAACCTGTCAGAGTATAGGGTTTAAGATGCACTGAAAGTGGTCACAATGTTGTAGTTACTTTATTTGTAAGAGTTTCAATTCTAGATCTTTCGCCTGTGCAGCTAGTTTATAATACCCAATTTTAAACTCATAGTTATAATTCTAAACTTATAACAATTATCATGTTATTTTAATTGTAGACTTATAACTAAAATTATAAACTTAAATTATAATACTTAATTTCTCCTCCTATTGGTTTTCGTCAATTGTTTTGCATACCTGTTTCAGCTGAGACATTCGAGGGAAAGGTCTCTTAGTACCTTGTCCTCGCACACAATGTTGAACCGGACAGTAAAAATGCTTTTCAACTTGACTCTTTCCCTGACCACGAGTAAAAAGCTTCTTTTCTTTGCCATTCGGCGCGATGCCATGAGTCTTGATCAGGTGCATCCTAAGGCATGGACGATTCTGAAACTCTCTGGAACATCCCTCTGTAGGACAGGGAAAAGAGGCGGCATCTTCCCTTCGAGTAAGGGCTTCCACTGAAGGACAGACTTCTTCCACAAGAGTCGCCATGTTTTTTGTTTTTGATAGTTGGGGAGGAACTGGTGATGAACCGAACCAGACCCTGTAAAAACCTCGGTCGCCAATATGGCGGACGGGAGAAGTTTCAGCACACCTAAGAGGAAACTGACGATTGATAAATGTTCCTTTCGCGATGAAAAGGAAAGATTCAGACGACAAATAGAGGAGCATCCTTTCAATCATGCGGTTTGTTCATATTTGACTTTAATTAGACGCAAATTCTCTTTTGCACTCACGTGGGTTTCCAACATGGGGTCGACTTTGGATTGCTCAGAATGTAGCGCATGGGTCGGGAGCTAGCTTTTAGAGAAAAACTGTATATACTTTGTGTCGGTTTCCTGCGGAAGATAACTTTTTTTTCATGATTTGTTCAGGTAATTATTTTGAGTATTCTAAAATATTTTTTACTTGGGAAAAATAAGGCTTTGGCACCTACCCCCACCCCCATATCATGCCACCCCAACCTACCCCCTGTTGTTTTCCTCAGGAATCTCTGTTTCGATATAGATCTTCTAGTGAAAAAATGGAGAAAAGGAAGTAAGCGCCCAATACCAATCATATAATCGATTAATCAAGCTTTTTGACCGATAACAGAGTAGACATGTCTATTCTCCACTCTCCCAATTGTTCTTCATACATTTCCTATGGAGTTGACAAACAAAATTTAGTTGAAAATTACAAACTTTTCAAGTTGATGATAATTTCCTTAATTCTTGTAAGCCTAATGTAATTTATAGTTACCAGTGTTAATGGCTAAAATGATTGAGAAAATAATTGAAAGTCACCCTCATCAGCCAATCAATTAATCAATCATGTAATTAATTAATTCTGACTACATTTTTTTTTTTTAACTTTTATTTTATTTAATTGATGCTCAGTTTTTATTTCCTATGTAAATTGTAGGTAGAGATTACTGTTCCAGATTATTTACTTGAAAATGTTACACAGTGCTTCCAGAGCATTTCACCATCTCAGGATTCATATTGTTTGATTGAACTACCAGTGCATGTCTTCATAGAGGTGGAGTTTATCAAGACATTTCTACAAAGTGGTAATTTTCTGTAGCCTTCTTATTTAAATTAAATTTTTTTTAATGATATTAACAGCTGCTTGATATTTGCCTCTTTGCAGACTTATTTTTTATAAAATTTTTCTCACAAGGTATATGTAACATATTTTGCACATCTATGTCAAAAGGATTATGGTGTAAATTGTTAGTTATCATTTCATGTGCATTTGTATTTGTTTCACAGGTCAGTTCATTGCCCTCAGCTGGGAAACATACATTGATGCAGGCAACTGTGCAGCAGTCCTTCCAACTGGTAAGAATGTGGGAATAACTGGATCAGATCTAGCAATCCTTAGCTGATAATTTGTTAAGATATGAGAGGGTATGAATTTTCATATCAGTTAATTCTTAGAAGTATTGGATGTGGCCAAGTTGTCCATTCAGCTAAATCCCATTTGTAAAATCAGCACCCAGCTAGCAAAATTTGGTTGTTTTTTAACTGATGTTCTGGGAAGATAACTATTTAATTAATAGCTTGGGTCCCGCTCAGAAGGAACAAAGGAAAACTAGGAATGGCAGCTCCCCAACATTAACTTAACCATTTTCATGCTCTATTTCATTTCTCCGTCTCTATTTTTCTGTCATTTCACTTCCTGAGAGCCCGGTATAGCCAAGAACAGTAAGATAAGATCTGAGACTGGTTTTTAGATTTACATATCAGAAGCATGGAATTAGTGATTGTAATAGAGAGATAGCTGTGTTAGGGATGTTGCACTTTATAAAAGTAGAGAAATGCTGGAGTTTACCAATGAGTTGTTAAAGAATCACATAATTTATCTTATTTCTTGGGGAATCATTTAGGAGTCCTCATTCTTTCTTTGGACAAAGACACATATGAGCAGTTGGGTCTCACAGGGAAACCATCAGTGTTTCAAAAGAAACACAGATTCAGTAAGTAATTGTTACTATACTTGGCAAGTTGTAATCAATCTATCAATTGAACATAGGTTTGATATTGCTGTGTGTCCATTCAGTAATAGATCACAGATGACATAAAAAAGTGGACCATAAGTTGTGGCTGAATATGTCATTTATGTTCTCACCACAGTTTGACATCTTTTGTGATCTATTACTGAACAGACCTGCAGCTACATGGGATTAACAGAGAGGAATATACCATAAATGGTGAAGTCGTCTATTCATAAGTATGTGTCTGTACTCCAATAGATCATAAGGAAGAGAACAAATCAAAAGGCATGTACAATTTAGCTTCTAAGTAGTACATAAAATGAAATAGTGCGTGAACTTAGTTCATGGAAATTTGGAGTCATTTGATTCAGTTTGAGGTATTAAGTTTTAGAGTCCTTAAAACAATTGCAGCGTATGGGGTGTTGCACAATTTTTTTTGTTTTGAATTTAGATGTGGAGGTTAATCTGGCTGCACCAAATTTTGTTCCTGGAAAGAAGGTTTATGAGAGAGTCAGATGGTGTCTAAAGGACAACCTACCATTAACATTCAAGTTTCTCATGAGTTGGACAAATGAAGGTAGGCAAAGACATACTGTGTGGTAAAATTTACATGCATGTGGCATTAAACTGGCCCTTGTTTAAAATTGGCCCTGCTGAGAAACACTGGAAGTTAAGGTGGTTCAGGGGTTACTCTGCACGCTTAGAGAGTGGATCATAGGCTGAGGGTGTAAGCATGGCTACATTACACAGTTGTGTTCCCAGGCAAGACACATGTTACTTTACTATAACACTGCATCTCTCCATAAAGAAGCATCTTGTTGAATTGGTCAAATTGATCTTCCAGAGAAGCCTGATAAAAAGCTGGGGTGTTGGTCAGCGGTCACTATCATTGTTGCTTGAGTGCAAGGACACACTTTGTTAGAGTCCACCACTAATACTAGATGTAATACAGTCTCCAGATAGGGAAACCCTGTTTTTACCAATTTTAATACCTCTCCTAGGTCAAGTATCAACAAGCAAACTCCACTCTTTCTTCAGTTCATTTGGTTGCCAGATGTTGTATAATACAGAGGATATCAAACAAGTTCAGAACCATCAGAAAGCTCCAAAGATTAGCTTTGACAAATCAAAATTCACAGATAATGGCACTAGCACAGAGACTGATGTGTGTGACTGTATGTCATTTTTTGAATGGCTTGGCTGTGTTGCTTGTGGAGTGGATTGGTAATTATTATGCTCACTGTAAATTGGGAATCAATAGGAAATGAAATGAAATTCTGTAATTTGCCAAATGAAAATCTGTAATTTGCAAAACAAAAATCTGTAATTAGTCTATCGATCTTTTTTCATTCCTCCCATTTCTTTGAACAACTGAGATCTAATAATTGTCATTAACGGCTTTGTATATGCCACTCTTTGAACTTGAAATGGCTGCACATCCAGTGGTGGTTTTTGCAACAAATCAAACTAAAAACTTTTAACTTTGAGTTAAAAAGAAAACCAAAGCAGAGTCCATGCAAGTTACTTTTAGATTTGTAGCCCCTATTCTTTCATTCTATGAGACTTATGATAAATGTAATTCAACCTATTCCTCAAACTTTTTTTTCAGCTCAGTAGCCTTGCCAGACAGTTATGTCTCAACACTAACATGTCCAGAACAATCATGTAGCTTGAAACAGCTGATAACATGCCGCTGGACTGGAATGATAACAAGCAACCGCATTTTATCAATTTTACTTACAGTAAGGTAAGATCAAACCAAATGACGCTGGAGTGAAAATGTATTAAATGATAAACGGGGTGATGAAAACTAACAAAATTGTTACCATTCCTGGTATTGGAATTAAAATGTAAACTTTTGTCACTAATAAACTAACTCTTCAGTGCTACACTGGGAATAAAAACTATGCCATGTGTATGTATGGAGGACATTACAACTACCCCATTTTCATGAAATCACTCAAATGGGAGTAAAGCTTACCATTCCTGTATGGGATGCTATTCTATTGCAAGAATTCACCAAACAGTCCGTAGGTACCACTTGCATAACATATCCTCCAGTAGCAAGTCACATTAATCATTTGAGAAATCTTAGCATGGATAGTGAACTAAGGTTTTAGCCCCTTTTCTGTTCATGTGGGCAATATTGTCGTTCTTACTAAAAACATATAACTCACTCATAACAGGGCTGACATTCTTCATTTAAAGACATCAAATTTTATTAAGTTAAATCCTAAGATCAGATTGTGGATTCTCCATTCGATAATTTTGGGTATTGGTATTCTTAGTACCTGTTTGGTGGATAATGCATGAATATCATGGGGAGAAGTTACATGTTAGTCACTTCTGGGAGTTAAACAGTTAAGGAAAAAGCAGTGAAGAGAGATCTCTCAAGTCACATTGACAAGGTTCACATGGAGAAGGTTCTTTTACTTATCAAACTTTTCTCTGACAGAAACCTTCTAAAGACAGCTGATCTTCCTTGGGTGGCAGTGACTGTGTGGGGATTTACTGACTGTCCAGTTACATGGAAACAGAATGAACACGGACACTTTGTCAGTGGGGAGAACTTGTACACCTTTGTGGTGTTTCCTAATGATCAGTACTGGCTCTATACAGCTATGGGTGATCAGGATTTTGGTTTATAAGCTGTTATGTGTCTGAAACACTGGGTGACTTAACAAGAAATTTGTCATGACCCATGAAAATTGTCAAGGATAGTCACTGCTGGCAGTGATTTCACTGTTTTCTGACCATTGCAGTTGGCATGTGCAAGTAAAGCTGCAGGTGTTTGCCCAATCTGACAATTCTTTGGCCAGTTGCTGTGAGTAGCTAGGTCAATCAGCAATTCAGATTGGGCAATTTTGACACATGAATTTCCAAAGCAGAGCCTGAAAACAAAGTTGAAGGCCCAAATCACTTTTTAAGTGGTAACAACTGTGAAGTCTGCCCTGATGGATCAGCTAAAATTTTCTCAACTTTTTCCAGTTCAGCAGCCTTGCTAGACATTTATGTA